AATTTAAAACAAATATATATGATATGTTAATAAAGAATATGAATGCTTGCATATATTTTTGTACTGAAAAATGAAATCGAAATTATAGCCTTACAGTTTTATCATGCAAAATAAACTCCATATGCGACTTGAATGTGGAGCCCTTATCTTGGTAAAACATCCTCACAATTCGAACTTTAAGCATAGGTCTTTTGCTCCTATTAATTTCTTCGATTAAACCAAATGCTTGATCCATTGCAGAGAAAGTTATTTTTTTGTTCTAAGATAATTGTTTGTAATACGTTGAATGCGTGCTGATGATAAGATTTATATATATATATAAATAACGTTGTGAAATATTCTTGTACCGAGAGTATTTTAAATCGGTAACAAATCTTGGACAATTTTGTTGAATTTGGACTTTTAAAAATAAATCGGTAAAATTTAAGAAATAATATATTTGACTAATCCGTGTCATATATGTTTAAATTTTGAATTCCAACGAAATTGGGATTGTACCGAGAGTATTTTAAATCGGTAACAAATCTTGAACAATTTTGTTAAATTTGGACTTTTAAAAATAAATCGGTAAAATTTAAGAAATAACATATTTGACTAATCCGTGTCATATATGTTTAAATTTTGAATTCCCACGAAATTGGGATTATTTCTAACCAATAATAGATTGCATGTTTGATTAAAACTCCGATTAAGTAGAGATTATGTTGGAAAGGTAAAAAATCGTGTTAAAAACGTTGGAAAATTGTGTAGTTGAGAAGTTCACGTAGTCTGCATTTTAGGATAAAACCGTGTTAAAATCTTCTATCAAAAAGAGTCCTACAAATTGAAACAATATCATTTTTAATTCAAGACGTTGAGACTATTTTTGAGACTTACATATTTCATGCCGATATTCACTAAAGATTGTTAGACATATTAATCACCTTATATTAGACTATTGTTAATTAAAAAAATATTCAACTTGTTCTGATATAAGAAACTAAAAACAAACTTAATTAAGCAAGCATTTGATTTTTATAAATTTAGCAAAAATTGTAAATATTAACATTTGAAATATATTATTATGTAATTTATTCGATTCAACAATTAAATTACAAAAGAAGTTTTATACTTTATATTGACATAGGATACTTAAAAATTTGAATAGTAAATTAATATTAAATTTAGATCATTAAAATATTCTATATTTAACCAATTTAGTGAATATACTACTACAATTTAAATCGAATAGTGATTTTTTTTTTCTTATTTTGCAGATTCTTGTGCCGGCTGCATTAATGGGTGAAGGCTGATTTTTGCCGATTTTTGTGGATGAATTACAATCTCCTCATAAAGTGGAATGATAGCTTGGTTACAATTGATCTCTTCATAAAAAGCGGAATGATAGCTTCGTTACAATTGATTATTGATTAATTATTTAATGTTGCAAATTGATGTAATTAATGCGTTATTGCTATGGTGTGAAAAGGACAAAAAAACATTCTATTTGTGGTAAACATTAAATGCAAACCGGATTTTGACTGACAGTTGACCTACTAAATTTGAAAAAGGTTAAATCTTATTATATATGTATAGATTAGTTGTTAAATAAATCTATATACACTTGTCTTTTGGAGAACGACGACGAATGGCAGGAACAGAGAATGTTGACGAGTGGCCCAATCAAACAACAAACATTAATCTCCTACAAATTCAAATAAAAAATTATTAAATTTGATGTTCCGCATTTTGTCAAACATTAATCTCCTACAATCTCAAATAAAAAATTATTAAATTTGATGTTCGGCATTTTGTCCTAGAACCGATTCAATTATCACAAAAAATACATAGGCAAAGTTCTCGACTTAAGATCTCTGACGCTCAAATCTGTTTGATATTCAAGAGTAATTCTCTATGCAATTACACAATAGGCAATTGCTCTCACACCTATAAGATGATTCGAATCGCTCTCACACCTAGATTCTCCCTCCTTATTAACGCATGATCCTTCTTTTGATCGATGCACCTTGATTCTCCATTTAAACCAACATCCATGACTTGAATCAATTTAATATTAATGAACAACATTCAAAGAAAATTAAACATGTGATTCACAATTAGAAATGCGACCATGCAAGTGATTTGCTTTTGTCATTGAAAATTACAAATGAGCCTTTCAAGATTTTCATTACACCATTATATCATCTACTCTATAACCCATTATTCTCATGACAGCCCATGAAATCAAGTTGTGGCAAAAATAACTCATGAAATCAAGTTGTGGCAAAAATTAGGCCTGTGACGAATATTTTGAATTAAATTTAGCGCATACATCACCAATACCAAAGGCATCATAAAGCTTTTTATTAACCATGTTTGACCTATTTATATTTAGAAAATAAATTTCAAAGTTGAGACATATGAAAAATGTATGCAAAATTAACTGCCCATTTCAGTTTCAGAAAGATTAGAATACACAACATTCTTTTTTTCCCTAGGGCAAATCAACAACTTTAAAACACTAAAAAAGTGAAGTACAAGGAATTAAATTATTACAGTTGAAGCAAGATCAAGGCAGACAGTGGAGTAAACATACTTCCCCTTAAAGGCTAACCCAGCCTAATGTGGGGATCGGTAAGGATCTCGTTATGTACAAGTCACAAATTAATAACAACAATATACCTACAGCAAATCTAGATATTTAACGTTGAAGACTTACGAATTAAAATTGCAAACTCCAAGACGTTATAGATTTTCCACTGTTGGAGATCGTCTGTACTCGGAATCCGTTGAGCTGTCGGATTTCTTCTTTTCGGACTTCGAGAAGCTCGTCAAGAGCAACGCTGGGTGCAGCACGTCGCGGACGGTGGTCGCCGGGTGCAGCGCGGATGGATCGCCGGGAGCTGGCTGCATCGGGGCTGCGGCGGGTAGATGGTGATCGCACGCGGTGGATCGTCGGGGCGCGTGAAAGTGTCTCGCGGCTGCTTTGCGAGCTGCGGCTCGCGTGTTGTGGTTGACAGCGTCGGGCATGGTTGTCGCGGGGCTCATCGGTGATGATGATCTCGGTGGAGCGACAAAACAAAGACAAAGCTCGACTATGGGAACTAGAAAGAGAGGGGACCGGCCGAGTCGTGTAAGAAGCGTGGGGTTGTGTTCTCTTCAATCCTATGAGCTTAGTAATGTATTTATAGAGCTACAGTAGGGATCCTAAGGAGGCGATGACTTGGGCTCCTTAAGTATTGGGCCAAACTGTGAGCCAAGCCCACTCTTGCCAATTACTTAAATAATGTCTCGGTCCACTAACGTAGACATTATTGAACTCCCTTATCATCTCTGAAATTATATTTGAGACCCAAATTATAATTACTCGAATTACCTCTCCATGTTTAAGATATCATTTCATTAATTAATTCGATTACTGATAATCAAGAATTAATTAATATCTTATAAACTGAAGCTATCACCACTCATCACATTATTATTATGTCGGATCTGAATCCACCTACAGGGTTTAACATAATAATCTTTCATTAGCTCACTTCGAGGATATCATCAAACTAACGTACATGGTGACCGTAAATATTCTAACAGTAAATCGTACATGCAGCACTATTACCCATAATATCAAGAATATTGATCTAGCAGAATGAATTTCACTTTTAATGAATCAAAGCAATAGTTACTGCATGAACATGCCTGTTTTTATCTTGCGGGTTAAGAGAACACAGTAATTAACCGAGGCCTAGTTCGTCTACGACGATCAGTATAAAACGAACTACTCCTCTCTGGGATCCAGTTTAATATAAAAATGTACTAGTGCTACTAATCAGTCAAGATCAACTGTATGGTTGACACTACAACCGTTCTGATGGTTTGTTCATTTCCATCTAGGTTGTGAACCAATCATTCTTTTTTCGCAAGTGACTGATAAAATGATCTTCAGTCCATCCGTGATGAATCATTTTATCTAAGTGCAAAACAATTGGACATAGAACTTGTTTAATTAAATACGATACTCATTCAACATAAAATGTAAATATTATACAAGCCAAGCTTTCAGTATATACACCAACAGGCTCTTCGCAGGTCGTCTTCTGATGGTCGAGGTCGAGCTGTGTTAGGCTTTTTAGTTGTTCAGGTTGTCTGACAATTTCTTTAAGGGTCCCTAGGTCGCTTAAGGATTAGGTCATCGTCGTAGCCTTAAATCGCTGTCCTATAGGTCGTTCACCTATAGGTTGCCCGAGGGTGAGGTTGTCCAGCTAAATTGGTGATCCTAGACTCCTAGGAGCTCGATCTCTACTTCGGTCGAGCTCCACATACTTTTTTGGGCCACACATATGGCTATGTCAATATTTATATATAATATTTATTTATTTTTGGTAACTTGTGCATGAGCACATAATTAATACTAGTGCTTAGTAACATAATGAAAATAAAATATCCATGTTGTCAAACTTCCTACATATATAAATTAACAGTATTCCCAAACTTAATTGTTATATTTTTTTCTTTATCATTTTATACGTCAATAATATATGTTCAGAAGAAGTTAAAATATTTATGAAGGTATGAAATTTTAAAATAATTTTACTATGTAAATTAGAATATTCACGGGTTTGGAATTTTAAATAAAAAATAAATGGAGTCATCTGAGCGGCTTAAAGGATTTACTGAATACAAACTGAAAATATATTCTCTTGAAGGATTTACTGAATCCAAACAGAAAATATTCTCACCTTGTGAGTATTGCATTTCGATATCCCTATAAAACTTTCGAATTTTCAATTACTATTATAAACAAATAGCTAAAAAAAAAAAAGAAACTAGGTTAAATATTTGGGTTAAGGGGGACTGCTGTGAGTCATTAACAGCAGCCCCAGCTGTTACACATGAGCCATTAGATGTAGTCTAATTATAAATAGATCCAAGGGCCATAAATAAATAACAAATAAATTATCTTTATACTTAATAAAACCTATTAAACTAAACTTGCCCCTAATAAACTAACCTTTTGAAAAAACATGGAGGAACAAGATGGCGTTCTAAATATCACATCAGCGAAATGGTCTGAAAAAAAATATCGAAATGGATTCAATGTGTTTGCATGTAATAATAGAGGATGATATTTTTCATGGAGTTGGTAAAAAAATGGAGCCTAGAAAGAAAAACCCTACAGAGTAAGTCTTTCAAAATTTCTTTCATTGTTTTTATTTTTCATTGTAACTATGCTTGGAGGGTTGAGTTGAATATTTTTTTCTTGTTTACTTAGGTGACGGGCAAAACAAATATGACTGTAATTTATTGTTTTTGTGCTTTATTGATGATATAGTTAATATGTGTATTTGTGTTGTATATTTTTTATTTTTTTGCTAAAATTCTATGTGCTTACTTATTTGTAGGAGAAACATGTGTTCTGTTAGTTGTGTAGAAGATGTTGTTTTAGAAAATTCTTCGAATATTAACAAGGAAATTGTGGACGATGCGATGCACGGTAACTCTATTAGTAGTGACCGGAATTCAACCGATGAACCAAGAGTTGGAATGATTTTTAATACTCTTCATGAAGCATGGGGTTGTTGGCAAAATTATGGGAAGTTGATGGGATTTGGAGTTAGAATAAATTATCGCAACAAAAGCCAGAAGGATGAGGTATATAATAACACAGTTTTTGTTTGTCGTAAGGAGGGCAAAAGAGCTGAAGATAAAAGAAGGGTGAGAGTCGTACATCGATGGGAAGAAAGAACATCATGTAAGGCTAAGTTAAATGTGATTTGGAGAGGTCGATTAGAAAGTACAAGATTAAAGAATTCGTTGCAGCACCTGCTATGTTTGGGGTACAAGATTAGAACTAAGCAGCAGGTCGATTGGAATTCGTTGCAGCACCTGCATTACAAGATTAAAGAATTCGATTGGAAAGTACAAGATTAAATGCATTCAAAGAAGATGTTTCTGCTATGTTTCCTCTATTTTTACTTGCAGCACCTGCTTTAATTCCTTAGCTTTATTGTGAGTTTAAGTGTATTAAGTATAATGGTCATTTATTTGCCTTTTGTTTCTAGACCTTGTTATTATTTACATATTTAGTTTTGTTTTTTGGGTTGTCCTTGTACTTGTTTTTTGTTAAATTCTGCTGAGGCCCAGATTGATTATGTTCTTATTTACACCGTAAGAATCGTTTTTTTCAGATGGGTCATTGCTATGGGATTGGTTGGTGATGGTGGTTAAGTTTTACCATTTTGATACGGGAGTCTATTGCTTGGTGATTCTTTGTTTGTTGTATGTGATTGACTTATCAAGCTTCATTAAACTTATATATAATACTCTAAAAATAGAAGAAACACAAAAAAGCTTGCAAGTTCTAATGCAATTGGCCTGATTAGTTAATCCCAACACCCAAGCATCCACAAGTTTATCATGACAGAGCAATTTTAAGTGCACTCATTAACAAATCTAGATTCATCACTCTGAATATACTGAACGAACCAAAAAATTGATATTTGCATAAACATATCACAAAACTCAAGTCAAATAGAGAACCACATTAAGACTAAGCATGTTAATTCAACTTCTTCATTGCTGCGTTTCTAATTTCATGGCAATCTGCATATAACTTTCTCTTCAAACACCAACTTCAAAATTCAAATCTCTAGCCTTTCTCTTCAAACACCAACTTCAAAATTCAAATCTTTAGCATATTGTTTCGTTTCGTCACGGTTCTCTCTGATTTAGCATATTATATTCCTAAGATGCTGCTACCTACAAACTCCAATACAGAAACCTTTTTATCAAATAAAAGGCTACATCACTTCTCCATTAAGAGGTGTGAGCCATTATTAATAGATTATTTCTTTCCTTCTGAACTAAAGCAAGATATAAGACAATCAAACAAAAATGCCCAATTCAAATATCAAGAACACATAGGTAATTCTCGGGCTGCAGTATAAGCATTAGGAAGCCAATTTAATCACTTTTTTTCATAATCACAAAACAGAACAATATCAACGGCATTATCCTAGATATCAAACGACCAATAAGGCATAAGCTCTGGCCGGCCAATGAGGCCCTCCATGACCAGCTCTGGCGTGGGTCCGACAAAGAAATACAGGTCAAGCATTCCTCCGATCCCCTTGTATGTAATCCGATCCCATTGCTATTGAGTAGCCAATTTGGCTAGTCCAAGCTCGTCAACAACCAACCCGAAAGCATTCCTCTGGCCAATGCCAAACGGGATGAACTCAAAATGTTTACCTCTGAAATCAACTTTCGGGTGAAAGAACCTCTCGGGAACAAAATTTTCAGGATCGTCCCTACCAGTGGCCCACGCGTTGATCACGACCGTTCTGCCGACAGATATATCGTAGCCCATGACTTTGGTGTCGTGAGTGGATTCAGGAGATGAGCAATGGGGCCGGTGACTTTAGTCTCTGAAGTTCGAGTAAAGAGAGGAGCTTGTAGCATGAAGTTTCGTTTATTAGAGTTATTGTTAGTTTAATAAGTTTATTAAGTATAAAGATATTTATATGTTATTTGTTTAATAAGTTTATTAAGTATAAATCTATGGTTGATATGTAACAGCTGGGGCTGCTGTTAATAAATAATGACTCACAGCAGCCCTTTAATCCAAATATCCATGGAAGGGTTTCTTTCACCACTAGTATGTGGTCCGTGCGATGCACGAGTAAATAATATTAAATAATAATTATAAATGACGATATAGGTAAATAATATGTATTCGTATAGGATTTTGAGTGTCACTTTGAGATTTTTTAAGATTTGAGACTTTTAAGATGGTCAAATTTTAGAGGAATACTATGAAATCTTAAGTGTGAATGTGAGATTTAGAGTGAAATTTTGTATAATATTCTTTTTTCTTTTAAATCATAACTAATCTTAAAAAGACCTAACAAATCTTGATCTCAAATAAGTTAAATATTTAAGGATATTTTAAGATTTTTTTTAATTTTTAAATACTCCCTCCTATTCATAATAAGTGTCGTTTTGGGAAGTTGCACACTAATTAAGAATAATTTTTTTGTCAATAATAACCCTCATTAATGAAGATAGAGATTGATGTTTTAAAAACAAAAAAGATGAAGAGAATATGAAAAGACGTAGTGTATTTATTAACTAAATAAGGGTAATAATGGAAAAATATGTACAAAAGATCCAAAACGATATTTATTTTGGTTAATAGTTGATAAAGCCAAAATGACATTTAAAAAAAATAGGAGGTAGTATCAAAGATGAACCGCTTTTGTTACCAAAAAATGTAGACACAATTTTGAATGTACATCCCGTCCAAATATCAGTTATATTCTAAAATAAAAATTGCACGTGGTTTTATCCAATTTACACACTTTTTTTTTGAAAGAAAAAATTATTCAATAAGATTAGAAGAATTGGTTAAGAATTATACAACTATTTGTTTCTAAAATTTGTATCCAATTTGTACGGTTTTTAAGTTAATTTGTATTTAGTTTTGTTTTCATAATAGTTGACACATTTTTTGCATAAGAATCTCTAAATTTGTTACCAAAAAATATATGATTTAAATTTTGGTAAAAAAAATAAAATATGATAAGAAAAAAATGGGATTCAAATTTTTGCCATAAGAATCTCCAAATTAGTTACCAAAAAAATAGGATTCAGATTTTGTGACTAAAGATTCACATGTATTTTTTTGAATTTTCCATTAATAGTAAGTCAAATATTATATTTATTTGATCAAACTTTCTATTAATGTATTTTTCCAACAACCTCTTCATATATATATAGATTTGATTTTTTTGGGCAAAAACATGACCAAATGTACAATTTGAACAAAGCACAGGGGCGTTAGAGCAACTCCAACAAATACCGTAAACTATCCCTAATTCCCTATTAGGGTTAAAACACAGAAAAATTGTCCTCCAACACATCCCGTAAATCTTCCCCATTTTTTCGCCCTCCCCAATCTCGAGCTCCTTGCCGCGGATATTTGCGCGGTGCCGATTCCTTCCCCAATCGCCCCCTATTTCCATTCCCGCGCTATATGATCCATTCCCGCGATATTTATCAAGCCTCGCTCATCAGTTCGAGGAAGGCCCAGAGGGGAAAACAAGCATTGGCGGCGGCGCGAAAGGGTTGCAGATGCAACCACCAATCGATCCCAGCCGGCCAAAGCAACAGCGGCGCGGCGGCCAGGAGATGCACCGGGTCATGGCCGCCGGCAGCCCCAACTCCCAATTGAACGACGGCGTCGGCCAGACAGGTAGAGTTGAGATGCAAAGTGAGGTGCAGGGTCGACTACCACCATGTCCTCCGATGGCAGGCCTTTTTGCCGGAGACAATGATGATCCTCTGGCGAAGCCGTACTCTTGCAGCTACGCCCCCTCTGCATCCTTTGAGGACATGGCCAACGACAACACTTTTCTAAATGGTATGAATCTCATAACCTGTAATCATATGCATCACCCTTTAATTTTTTTTATCTTTCTTTTTATTATTGTTACGATTATTTCATCAGTATTGCAATTTGCACATCTGGGTTTTGCTTTATAGGAATGCAGTTTATTGTTTAGTGCAATTCATTAGCATGTGTCACACTTGGTGTACAGTTACTGGAAGATGTTTTCTATTAGCACTTTCCGAAAAATTCAGTTCCCTCTTTCTTGGTGGTTTTCTAGCCAAGTTGTGCTTATTTCACTCTTGTTACTTCTGCTTGAGGAAATTTCCATCCTCAAAAATAAGAATGGATGTATTGGTTGCTATAATAAGGGTAAATTGTATATATAGCAGTAGAAGCCTGTATGTGCATAAAGTGGAAAAAATGAAGTTATGTGACTTTCTACTCACAAATAATCCTTAATTAGTTCATTTTTAATCTTCCTGTGGCTAGTTTGTGGTCGCTGAGTAGGAGTGATTTCATTGTATCGTGTTCTGTTCAAAGCATTTTTATTAGTAAACTTGAGCAAGGATGTAGCACGTTCTAATTGGAAAAAGTGACAGTAGCATTTTCAGTTGTGGTAAGGTTTCTACTCAAGGGAATATTTTCAATTTGACTTTCTGTTGCATCTAATATGTAGTTCACTTTTGGAGTATGTTTAGCAATTTTCATATGACTGGAATAGCACATTATGTCTTACCTTTGTTTTTTAAGAAATTTGCTTGTGAAATGGTACATATCTTGGAGTCTTGGTTTCTGTAATGATTTCAGTTAGCTTGCTACTGTTCAGTGATCTGTAAAAGCAAATCTTTGATAATGTGTTGTTGATCTGTTAAAAAATGTGGCCATAGCCCATATCTGTTCGTTCTGTCTTTAGGCTTTGGATGAAGACTTATCACTGGTTAAATGCTTGCAGGAAATGGATATTTTTCCAACATGATGGTTGAAACCAATCTAGGGGATTTTGATAATTATAGCAACACGAATGCTGACCATCAGTCACAAGCAATGCAAGTTAGTCCAGCAGTCCCCTCTGCGAGGCCGAACCATAAGAGATCAAAGAATTTCAGTGACCATGAAGATGAGGTTTTGGTTTCAGCGTGGCTGAATATAAGTTTGGATCCGGTCGTAGGCAAAGATAAAAAAGGTGGCAGGTATTGGTCTCGTATCTGTGACTATTTCCATGAGCATAAGACGTGCCAATCAACGCGTACCATTAATTCTCTAATGCACCGGTGGGAGACCATACAGAAATGTGTGAACAATTTTTGTGGATGTCTAACACGGATTGAGTTAAGGCGTCAAAGTGGTACTACAATGCAAGACAAGGTAATTACTCACTTGTCTAAGATGGATTTGTTTCGACTATTTTTATTATATCTCATAAATGAATATCCCTTGGATGTTGGTGTGTGCAGGTTGCAGAGGCATGTGCTTTGTACAAGGCCGAAGACCAACATAACAAAGCATTTCAGTTCATGCATTGCTGGAATAAGCTGAGAACACAACCAAAATGGCTTGCTAAACTTGATGAATTTGCTGCTGCTAAAACATCTAACAAGAAGCAGAAGTCAAGGCCTACTGCTGATCCGAGTGCAACTTCACCAAGTGAAGTAGGACAAGATGCAGTTGAAGACTTAGATGCTAATGCATTGACAAGGCCAATTGGTAAGAAGAAGGCAAAAGCAGCATTGCTGCAAGAGAAGAAAAAAAGTGTGACAGCAACCTTAGAAAATATGTGGGCACAGTTAAAAGAAACTGATGGGGAGAAAGAGCTAAAGAAAGATCAGAGGTTCAACAAAGCATTTGCTCTTGAACAGGAACGAGTTGCAAATGAAAAACTACTTCTTGAGGTGAGGAGTCAGGAGGTCCAATTACAGAGGAAGAGGGATGAAGAGAGGATTATGACCATGGACCTTAGTGCCATGCCAGATGAGCAAAAGAAATACTACATGTGCTTGCGGGCTGAGATCATGAGCCGAGTATTTAATTAGAATTCTATTCTCCTAAATAGTACTAGTAGCTACTGTGATGTTTTTTCCCCATATGTTACTGTGATGTTTGAAATTAATTTGTATTTGAATCTTCTAAAGAGGCATTGAGTTAGTGATTAGTCATTTAATACTCAAATTTAAAGTCATTTTCCAGTAATTCCAGTTCAGACGTCAAATATTTTGCTTAATCAAGAGCACTTAAGAAACAGTAGAACTCACAAAAGTAATTTCAGTGCTAAAATAAAGTTTAAGTACATTGTATAAACTTTTTAAACCTGTCAGGCCTTCTGCTATACTTATGATACTTATATTACAAACAGTATTCATGGATTCTAATACTCAGCCATTAATCCTTTATCTATCCATTTGATACCATTAACCATGTAGGAATTAGGAACTACATGNAAGATCTTTATCGGCCACAGCTTCAAGTATAATTGTAGGCTCATGCACATGCCCGGTGTACATACCTTGCCATGCTGAAGGACAATTTTTCCACCTCCAATGCATGCAATCAATCGAGCCAAGCATACCAGGAAAACCTCTACTCTCTCCAATTGCTAGTAACCTAGCTGTATCATCTTCATTAGGTGATCTCAAGTACTCATCTCCAAAAACCTCCACTACAGAACTGACAAACCTTCTCAGACTCTCAATAGCAGTACTCTCGCCAATACGCACATAATCATCTGTAGCATCAGCTGCTATTCCATAAGTTATCATCCGGAATGCTGCAGTGATCTTTTGCAGACTAGACAGCCCAAGTATACCGGCAGCATTTCTTTTCTGTACGAAATATTGATCATGTTGTTCTACGGCATTCCATATGCGTACAAACAGTGTACGCCTCATTCGAAACCTGTAATTCAAAAGTAATGAGACACATATATATGGATTTATAAAAAATAAAGTCCAAATAAATCTATTGTTTACATACCTTCGTCTAAAATAACTATGCCCGTACGTAGGATCATCTGAAAAATAATCTTTGTACAACCTATGATGTCCTGCGTGTCTGTCTCGCTCAAGTACTCGATGCCCTAGGATAGAACCACGATGTTTTGTTTCATCGTCAGACTCATCGGCATTCATGGCCACATGAGTAACAGAGAGGAGGAATTCATCAGCGTCATCATCTGACGACGAACTCATCACCAGCTGCATGGAAAGGCTTCGTCGACTCATACCGAATCCGTTTTACCTATCTCCCGACAACTCCAGCGAAGACGTCAAGCTCCTAGCGGCGGCGGCTGTGGGGGAGTTTCTGTGCGGGGAGTTTCTGTGCGTGTGCAATGGGCCCAATTACAATGACGTAGCCTGTTTTAAAATATTAGGGACTAGTTATTAGCAATCTGCTGTGGGATGAGGGAAATTTTTTTTAGGGAGAGCCCCAATACACTGTTTTGGGGAAGAACTTTTTAGGAAACTCTTGGAGTTGCTCTTATTCACTTTTTCATCATACTACCGAATCATCGAATAATTGGTTACTATAAAATGGGTCCAAAAGTCCGCCGTCTCTCAACTACTCCCCCTCCTCGCTCTCATTCTCCTTAAGCTCCTTAAAACCCCAGCAGCCCTTCAGCACCCCAAAAAGATACACACACGCGCAGTCTGTTTCAAAGTCCCTCTTTTGAGACTTTAATCAAACAGTCCATCGGCACTTATTGCCTTCATCACAACAAGTAAGCCACGATTGTAAAAAATCGTTTTAATTAGCTGTTCCTTTGCTTATGGCTTCAAACTTCATCACAAGACAGTTCCTTTAACGTTCTTTAGACTTCACATGGATATTTATGTATTATCTGTACGCTCTTGTCATTTTGTGGATAAGGCCTTTTATTTTTTTTGTCCGGCTCTTTACTGGCTTGCTGACTTGAAATGATTGGCCTTTTCAAAGTTTCTCTTTTTTTCGGGTTCCTGCTCTTCATTCTGTTTAGGATGTATGGAATATTGTATGGTTATGAGTTGCCAAAATTTAGTTTTTTACATTTGTGTTTTATATAATGGGAATGTATTCAATCTTGAAATGAAAAAGAACTCTGGTGGAGGCCATCAGTAAAATTTACTGACGTGCAAATTGTTCGTCTGACTTGGGTGTAGGGGCGAAAGACTAATCGAACCATAATATATTATGTCCTATATCTTTTGTAAGGGAAAAGTGAAAAGATGATACCTTGGACCGTGAATTACATTTTCATGGTACATAACATTTAGTGAAGCAAGAGTTTTTACCTTGAAGAGTTCAAGTGTGCACATCTTGTTATTCAGTGCTACATATTTATTGTTTTAGGTCTGTCATGAATGACAGTTAGTGGGACTTTGGGGTTCCTTTTTATATATACTTTCTGATTGCCCTATTTCCTTATACAAGGAATTGTCATGGCGGGCAAGTCGAATAAGGGGAGGAATCGTAAAGTGTCCCAGAAAGGTGCTGTGAATTCTTCTGAGCAGGCCATCTCTACTGATGCTCCCTTGAGCGATAGTTTGAAAACTGCTCAGGCCAATGAAAATGGAAGCTCAGAAGCGTCAAGTGACACAAAGGCTGAAGTGCAAGACAAGGAAAACTCATCTGACCAGCTCCCAAGCAAACAAGGTTTCAGTTTGATCCATTTGCATCCAGGAGTCTTGCGTTAAGCTATTTTGTTTTATATTATGCTTTTTCCTGTTTCTATCTGTCGATATATTAGTTATACTTAATTTTTTTATCAGTAAATGAAGCTTTGGTATTAGAGATTGAAAGTAGTTAATAGTTTTTGATTCAGCTATGTTAACTTGCACAAGCGTGATTGAAATTTATGTTAAATTTGCTACCACTTTGGAGTTTCTGAATTCCCATTGCAGTTTTACATGATTGTCCAATTTATTTTCCTAATAAATGCATATCCAGGTATCGTTAGTGACTATAGTAACTGTTGTATTTGGCTTGTTTTTCCTCCAGGATTTCTGACAAGCTTAGCCAGAAACATGTTTTGGTGGTTATTGTGTATATATTTGAGTTTTTAAGTTTGCTTCTTTACTAAAGTAACATCATGATCTTTTGAAAATCTGGTAACTGTACAGAAAATGATTTTTTTACTTTTCTTCCTTCTTTCTATTCGTTTGTAAGCTTATCTGTACGGGGAGATCACAATTGATTTTGTTAGTAGACTTGAAATAGGCATGTTCCTGAACTATATATGTCAACAGATATTGGTAATTTTTGTCTTCTTTCCATATGATGTCATTATATCAATTATTTCATTAAATTCTCATTTTTACCTCTAAGTTGATGGGACATGTGTAAGCAATCTGTCTCCTATGCATTTACAGTTATCTTGTTGCAAATGTCTCCCAATTTAATGGAATCTTGCGACAGTTCCGTACTAAACAAACAATTAATTTCACTTGATGTTAGGTGCATTTTCCTTTGTTCTATCAAATGTGTTTAATTTGGCTGGTTTAACTTTAAATTCAATTCTGCAAATAAATGCATACAGACATGAACTGATCATAGGAGCATTCTCATGCATTGAAATGCTTTCTCGTTCCTCATTAACTTACAGATAATGACTCAACACTTTCTGCTTGAGGCAGGTGATGCTCATCTTTATCCGGTTTCTGTGAAGACACTAGGGGGAGAGAAGCTTGAGCTCCAAGTAAGCCGAGACTATTAGTTTTGATAACTTCAAGCATTTGAGCAGTGCTTTCTTCCAGCCTCAGTAAATGTTAATCCTTCCTTTGTAGCTGACCTAGGTCTCCATGATTATTGTCTTTGATTAGTTAATGTGCAAATTGTGGAGGGTGTTTGGCATAGCTTATTGTAATTTCTTCAAAATGTCTTATTAGATGTGAGAAAGCTTATAAGCCTAAAAAATTGTTTGGTATTTTTTGTTTGTTTTGTAGAAGAGCTTATAAATTAAGAGTTTATAAGCTCCTAAAAAAAGTTACCCATCCTAGCCTTTTTTTAATCATCTTGTAAGTTTCTCTGCTCTTGCCAAACATCTTACAAAGCCAAATGTTTTTTCATAACCACTCACTTCAACAGCTTATTTTTCAATATAACAACTTATCAGCTCTAGAAACATCTTAAAAGATATCAAAGCTTTTACGATCTTTTGAATAAGCTCAACCAAACACCCTCTTAATATCGTTTTGTGCAGCTTAGTATACTTTGAAATGCCTGTTTCTAGAACTAAAAGAATTAGCACTTGCAGTTGAGTCCTGGAGATTCTGTAATGGATGTAAGGCAGTTTCTTCTTGATGCACCGGAGACATGTTTTTTCACGTGCTATGATCTGTTACTTCACTCAAAGGATGGTTCTATTCATCATCTAGAAGACTACAATGACATATCTGAAGTTGCTGATATCACCAGTGGTTGCTGCTCGCTGGAGATGGTTGCTGGTAAAGCTTAATCATTTCATTACTTGAATTTATATTTTGCTTCTAACTGGAATAGTCTACCATAAAACTCAACTCATTTGACATTTTCAACATTGATAACTAGTAAATACCTTATGGGGGAATGATGCACAAAGGCATGTCAATTGTCAAGAATCACTAATTTATGTTATTGATCTAGTTATGCTGCAAAAGCAGTCTGTATGCAAACAGAAAAAATTATTGGACTACATGTGTTTCTATGTGGCGTATTTGTTATTGTTGCATGCCTTACATTAGGTGTTTCATGCAGCATTATATGATGATCGATCAATTAGGGTTCATGTTCACCGAACAAGAGAGCTGCTATCTTCTTCAACGATGCATTCATCGTTGTCCACCATGCTCGCATTACAACATGAAACGGGGAAAAATGCTTCTGCAAATTCAGAAGGTTTGTTGTTTTACGTATCAGCTTGCTTGGTGTTGGTTCTTCTAAGTTTCCATTCTTATTGACATTTCTCTTTATCAACCGCTTTGGTATGGAGTGACTTTTTTCTTTCTTTCTTTCTTTCTTTCTACTGTGCAGATGCTGTGAAAGTTGAAGTGCCAGAACTTGATAAAGTGGGATTTATGGGGAATGGCTCAGTTGCTAATTTACTGCCATCATCCTCCAAAGAGATAAAGTGTGTTGAAAGTATAGTGTTTTCTTCATTCAATCCTCCTCCAAGCCACAGAAGGTTGTACTAACTGAAAATAATCTTCATATGTATTATTGCACAGAGTTTTCAGTTATGTCATTTCAGTTGCTTTCCCATTCTTTTCTTGTTCTCTTCATTTCATTTTTTCATTTTGTTGAAAGAGGTTACCTTCTAACATACTGAATATTATATTTGATTGTTTCAGGCTTTTTGGGGACTTGATTTATTTGGATTTGGTTACGTTGGAGGGAAATAAGTATTGCATTACAGGAACAACTAAAGATTTCTACATCAACTCAAGCACAGGCAACATTCTTGATCCAAGGCCAATGAAAAGTTCTTTAGAAGCAACATCCCTTGTTGGACTTCTGCAAAAGATTAGCCCCAAGTTCAAGAAAGGTAACGCGAATTTGTGTTTGGCCTTTTATTTGGGGGACTCTTCTTGACCAGGTTTAATATTTTGAATTGAAGTATTAAATAATTTGTTACTGTATTTTCTTACATTTTCCTAGCTTTACGTGAAATATTGCTGCTCAAGGCCCATGCACATCCCTTAGAAAACGTCCAATCGGTGTTGCCTCCAAATTCATGGCTGGGCTTGTATCCAGTTCCTGGTATGGACACCTTATTATTCAGCAGTTTGATAATTGCAGCCTTGTAGATGAGATATTGTTTTTTTCCTTTATTTATCTGATGATGAGCAAAATAAACCCGATCAAATCGATTGCTACAATTAATTAGATCAGTCTGTTGGGTCTTTGCTTCATTGTTTCCTCACCAAATATTTATTTAGCATCTGGTGTTTTGTCCTTGTACCCATAGCTACTTATCTCCTTATCATACATCCTATGAGTTCCATGATGAATAAATATTTAAAGCAATTGTTAGAAACTTATCATCTTCTTCTCTATAAACAAAAGCAAGTATAGCAATCCAAACTTTTTGCGAATGATTTTGGGAACAGTAACCTATAGTGAAGTGCTTGCTTTTGGTGTCATCTTCGATGTCCATAGTTTCCTGAGAAGACGTGTATTTTGCCAGAGGATATCCTTTCTGTAGGATTCTACTGGGATCTCATATTCTAAGGCCAAAATAAATCAGTATAACAGACAAAAGTCGAGTACTAGCTTTCCTTTTCATTGACAGTGTAGCTTGAATCATGTCTAGTCTTGTTGATTGGCTTGTATCATGTATGGCAATTCAATACTAATAAAAGAAAGGTCTCCAATTCCGCCAAGTAATTTGGAAAAATATTCTAATGCATCTTTTTTTTTTTTCCTTAGTGTAATCATCTTCACTTGAAGATGTAGACTTGTTGAACCAAACAATGTAAATATTTTCTCCCTATCTTCTTTTCTTGATTCTTTTAGTTGTCCTCATGTATTCCATAAATTGTTTGACACCCTAGTAGGTGTCAGTCACATCCACCTGTTTTGGTGTTTATGGTTCCTATGTTTTGCCGTGATTCTGATAACTCTTTTTAATGGTTGGTGAGTCAGATCATAAACGTGATGCAGCAAGAGCAGAGAATTCATTGACTCTTTCCTTTGGAAGTGAACTTATTGGCATGCAGAGAGATTGGAATGAGGAGTTACAGTCGTGTCGTGAGTTCCCTCAGACCACACATCAGGAAAGGTGCTCTTTCTGGACTCTGGAGTCATTGTGCAATATTTGCAGCAATATCTTGGCTGTAGATACCGTCATGTTATATTGTTTACAAATTATTTTTTGCAGGATCATTAGAGATAGGGCACTATACAAGGTCACTTCTGATTTTGTTGAAGCTGCAACTAGCGGTGCTATTGGAGTGATAAGCAGATGTATTCCACCTATTAATCCAACTGATCCTGAGTGTTTTCATATGTGAGTGTACTTTGCACGAGCTTTCATTGGCAGTCATAATTGTTTTTCTTTCAATCTTTTGATTGGTATATTTGTTTTCACTTCCTCTGAGTTCCTTTTATGGTGTGGATCTATGTTCTGTTGAAATAATTCAACAGAACAATGACATAATTAGCAGCTTTCTTACTGGGACAGTTTTGTTAAGATGGGACTTTTTAATGCCGTGTTATTCTTGTGTAATTTATTTGGTCTTTACCAATACAGAACTTGAATATCCCATTACTTAGTCATATGGTGAGTAGTTTTAGTTTATTGTTTTATATTTTTTATTTTTTTTTGGTTTTTTTTTGGGTGTGACAATATCCCATTTTTTGTTGACTTTTAGGTATGTCCACAACAACATATTCTTTAGTTTTGCTGTTGATGCCGACCTTGAGCAATTGTCGCGAAAGCAGACATCAGAAGTCAACTCTGAACTCCAGACCACATCTTCATTGCGGGGCGATTCCAAAACTTTGGTGAACAAAGTGCCGCTTGTGGATAGCAATCTGCCACATGTGGGTGAATCAGTTATTACAAACATGGAACACACTAGTGGCACTGAGGCAATTTCCCCTGACATGCCTGCAGAGTCTCAGCTGGCAGAAAGCGAGCAAGCTACATATGCAAGTGCTAATAATGATTTGAAAGGCACCAAGGCATACCAAGAAGCTGATGTTCCTGGCTTATACAATCTTGCTATGGCCATAATTGATTATAGAGGTCACCGAGTTGTTGCGCAGGTGCACTTTTGCATAAACTTCTTTCTCATTAGATCCCTTATACCGGATTTTGTATTTGATCAAACTTGATGTTTCTGCTAATTGGGGTGAATAAGTACCATTGTTTGCACCTATTGATATCCACACTCACTCGTTTTTGCCACACTAGACTCACTCTCATTTACTTTCCTTGCATTTATTGTGCCAATTGCATTCGTTTCAGTTGGTCTGTAGTTCTCAGAAACCTTTATGAATGACAAAACAAATTCCGATTTATGATATTCTTCATGCTAGTCTTATATCTAAAGACCTTAAATGTATTAAATTGAGCATTAAGATATTAGTTGATGGCATGATTCATGTTTTGGCTCGTAACTGCTTACTTTTCATCTGCTGCCAGAGTGTGTTGCCTGGAATCCTCCAAGGTGATAAATCAGACTCCCTTCTATATGGTTCTGTTGACAATGGCAAGAAAATTTGCTGGAGTGAAGATTTTCATTCCAAGGTAAGAGGAGCTACCAAGTTTACTATGAAACAATTTCAAGTTTCATTGATTACCTAAGCCTTTCTCAAATGTTTTCCAGTCCAGCTTAATGATATAACCCTTTCTCTCCGAGTGCTGCAGCTGCTTTCCCTTTCTCATGGATATAATATTTATTATACAAACAAATAATTCTCTTTTATTTTCCATTAAATTACCTAAGCATTGAATCTGTGGTACCACATACTTGTAGCATGATAAATTAAGCCTTTTAACTTCACCAGGTTTATTTGTTGCTGATTTACCTTTTGCTTTTATATTTCCTTTTCTGTCTAGCAAGTAGCTCTATAGTTGGAAATAGCATTTCTCAAATCTCATTTGCAGTAGACTTTACGAGTAGGATTTTTCAAATCATATTGATGTATGCTACTCTATCCCATATTGCTTTATTGAAATGATCTTTTCGTTGGAGTAGATATTTTGATTTGCGGAGGATAGTTGACTCTTCTTTGACACATGGCATATATATGATGGAGTAAACCGTTGGCTTAAGTTAATTTCGTGGGAGACGGGGAAAGTAAAGAATCAGTAACTGCTAGTAATTATTTTCACACTTGTTATGGAAAATATAAACAAGGTTTTTCTCTTCGTCTTTCAGAGAAGTTCCAAGACACATGCCATGTGTGGATTTATTTTAATTTTGTTTATCAACAATAAAATATCTTTCGATGTTGAGATGGTCTCCTCCGCGGATGTGCAATGTCTAGCAAAAATTTAAGCAATCAAGTTGGCAGATAGATTTTCCATATTGTTTTAAGAAGATATGTCGGTTCTTGTTTCAGTTATAAAATGAAGATTAGAAAGGGGGATATAGAATTTTTAATGATGGGGTTTTTTTTAAGAATGTCTTCAGTAACTAATTTGAGAAAATGAGGTACAAACTCATTTGGACTTTTGGTCTGAAAAATGCATTGGAGTTTCTGGAGAAGAGTTGGATTTTCCTCATTAACGACGACTAAAAATTGCACTTTTTTCTCTCGTTACTATGAAGTGCAGTTCATTGCTAGAAAAGAACCTTCAGTTGTCTTTTCAATGTCAACTATATCATTTTTTAGAGACTAAATTCTAAAAAATGAATTCTCTATGTTGGTACTCTGGGGCTATGTTTCTTCTAATCTCCTGAAATTTCTAATGTTCGCAAAATTGTTCTTGACAAGTTAGTATTCTTAGTTTTACCAGTATTTCGTAGGTATTAGAAGCTGCTAAACGTCTTCATCTGAAGGAGCACACTGTACTTGATGGTGCTGGCAATGTAGTGAAACTAGCTGCACCAGTTGAGTGCAAGGGCATTGTTGGTAGCGATGACAGGTGTGATTTCTCTATCATATAGTTATCTTCTGTTGATACCTTTTGGGCCTTTTCATTCTTCTTCTCTCTTCCATTTGAAGGGTGAATTTTCTGTTACGTCACAGGCTCTAGAAAGTACTTGAAACATTGGATGTTTCCTCATATGGATCATCTTTGTATTCATGTACTTACTTTCTTATAGTGTCAATCTCAGTGATTAAAGGATGATCTTTAACCTTTTTCTTTGGCCAGTACATTTTTCTCAATGCTCATATTCTTGTTATGTATCTGATGCATCATGCTGAATTATCAATCATAGAGTCTGAAAACTCTGGCTAATTGTCTTGCGGAGTAAATCCTTTATCCATCTTTTACATGGTCCTGTTTTGGACTTGGTAACCTTTCTAACATATGCTCGTTCCTTCCCGGAAAATAGTACATGTTTCCATTTAAGGGGTCCCAAAAAGATAGTCCTATTACTTTAAATAAAAACATTTATTTTATGAAACATCTACTAGAATAGTCATTGGATAAAAGAATAATTAATTTAGAGTACTTTTTTTTTTTCTCAAAACAATAATTCTGTTTTCTTAAACTGGGTGGAGTGTCATGAGACTCTTTGTGGGAGGCAGTGTTATTAATGGCCGATGGCAGTAAACGGCGGTTTGCCAAAAATACGGTATAGCGGCCGCCGTGGCAGCCTATGGCGCTGCCATAACCGCCATCCTTCACAAATTAAGCATGGCGGACTGTAAAAAATCCACCAAGCCATTTGATAACACTGGTGAACAGACGGAATATATATATATATATATTTTTTTTTTTTTTTTACTTTTCTTTATATTACTTGGACGGTCTATTCGTGTCCTGGTAGTAAATATTGTAGATGTAATTTTGTGATACGCTTCTGACTTGCTTATTGTTTCTTTGGGTTCATTTTTTATTATGCGATCAGACATTATCTTCTGGATTTGATGAGAGTCACTCCTCGTGATGCAAACTATACTGGACCAGGTTCCAGATTTTGCATTTTGAGACCTGAACTAATATCTGGCTATTGCAATGTAAGATTCAATTTACCAACAATCAATTTCACTAGTGAGTCATATAAAAAAAAGCACAACCTTGAACGTTTTTTTTTTTTTTTTCTTTTTTTTTTTTTTTTTCTCTCTTCTTTTGGTTTGATGAAAGGCTGAAGCTGCGAAGATGACTAAAGGCGGGAGTGAACTGAAGCAGGAGAATTCTGTTTCTGATTCCTTGAATGTCAGCAATGCTGGAGTAGTGGAGAAAGCTGAGGAGCTTGCTGCATTAACAAGTAATACACTGGTAAGGTTCCTTCTCAGAATAGATTCTTTTACTCCTTGACGTGGGCATAGTTTTTACTAGCAAGCTATATCCTTCTAATTATGAAGTTCAACTAATGCCTACGATTACTAAGTGTGTGTGTGCCCATAAGCAGTGTTGACTAGAACTAATGAAGTTCTGCAATTTAGTTGAGCACATTGTCAATGGGTGGATTTTCGCATAACAGATTTAGAACTTTCATTAATACAAGCTAGTTGCCAGGATTTTGGCTTACTGTGCTTGTTTGGTCTTGCACTAGACTTTTGAGTAACATGGGCATATTTATCCTTTTTGCTGCTGGTCACTTAAACTAGTACAGCTTGAACAGATCAGATAATTGTGTTGTTTGTTGATTTTTCATATTAATCTCCTGTGTACTTGATTTGGTAATAAATAGCAGGGTCTCGTTTATCTTAGGGGACTTGACTTGATAAGTTCATTTATTCCACCCTATCCCGCATTTCTTTACTATGGTTTGGACCTGAAGATTTATCCGCAACTCGTCTTGGACTGTCCATTGTATCATGCATTGAGCTGATAATTTCGGGTTTTTTTGTTCCTCAAATTTCAATGGCCAAAATCACTTAATAGACCCTTGCCAAAATCACTTAATAGACCCTGATTCAACCTTTTGACAGCTTGTATTTACAATTTTGCTTATGTGAAAGTCTCAGAAGTGCAGCCTCCAACCAATCTATTCAGACTGCAGCAGACCTGATAAGATAGTCATCCCCTTCTTCGCATTCATCAGTCCAGTCCACTGTAAGATAGGATGATTTTTCGGTTTGATGAAAAAAGAAGACTTTCTAATTTGACCTTTTTTGCTGGGTTGGAAAACAACTAATCGAAGCGAGACAAGGGAAACTTAATGGAATTCGCTCAAGATAGAAGATTAGCGCACCATCCTTTATGGGTCCGTTTGGTTAACAAAGGGTTATTGGGCTTGATACAATCTTCTTGATTTTATCAAAGGCTACCCTCCACTAGCCCATTAACCTATTTGGTTGATGGTTGATAATTATAACTTTTAAGCTGAGATTACAGTTTTGCCCTTCAGTTACAATTAAAATTTCAGATCTTCCCCACTACAAAATTTAGATTTCTTCCATGACATTTTAAATTCATAAAACAATTTCAAGTTCTTACCTATGTAGATTCCACATCCCACCCATTAGGTGGGATACCTAATACTGAAAAATCTTAATAATTTGGACTTATATCAAGGGCTTATTTATTGGAACCAAACATGTTAATAGGATGGATATATTATGAAATGGTGTGATATCAAGCACAATCAATCCAACCAAATGGACCCTAAGGGTAAACAAATATCGTGCTTAAAACCTCTCCATTGTATCACGACCGCAGCACCTCTTCTGGTCAGCATTATTCTCTGCAATTTTTCTCATAAGCTGGAATAATGTTCAGAGGGTTTGGGATGATTTGGGTAAAATGAGAAGATAACACAAGGGTAAAGTTCAATTTCTAATCCCAATAACTGAAGCACAAAAAAGAAACACAGGAGAAGAATTGTGTGTCCATGGAGAAGTACTCATTCTCAACTAGTGAATAGAAAGATGAACAAATTTGAATGTACAATCCTGACCTAACAGATAGAATTGTCTTATCCTGTCTGAATAAATAAACGAGCCGTGGGTTCAAATATTTACTCTAATATATTGGATTATTTAGTGTTATCAAATGGCAGCCATGACGTGGAAGATTTCTGCCAAACCTCTATGTTAAATTTGTGAAGGATGGGGGTGATGGCGGTGCCATATGACACCACGGCTGCTTCCATGGCAGGATTTTGGCCAGCCGCCATTTACCGCTATTCGCCATTAATATCACTGGGATTAGTTGAAGTTAGGCAGCTTCAATATTGTTTATGTGTCATGCTACAATGGTTTAATTTTGATCAAAATGAAAAGACAAGCTAGAGATCCAATCTTCACAAGAGATGGAAAAGCTAGTCAGGATTTAGGACTCTTATTTTTTTATGTCTATGATTTCACTTAGAGGAGGAAAAATAGGATTTTATTGCTACAAGTGTGGATTATTGAAAATAATAAAACATGCACTGATGCACATCAAAGTCTTTGTCAAGCTGGACCTTGATGAGGGATGGGAATGGCGAAATCCATCTGCCCTTTTCTTTGTATGCAAGGAAACAAACCAAGTGATGAGATTTCCCAATGCAACCTTTTCATGAACATAGTGATAATCAAGCTCAATATGCTTGGTTCTTCCATGAAAAACAGGATTCCATCCACTAAGGGAAAGCAGAGCAACTTGGGAACGAAAGACGGCTAAGCTTATTTTGCCATGGCTCGATGTAATTGACCTTCCTCTCATTAGCTCACAGAAGTGAAGTTCTGTCATAGAGATTTGGTTACATTGACAAATAAGCTTTTTCACGTTAATCACTGGTAGAATTTGAAAAAACTTGATGAAGAAATTGGATAATTTACACTGGGCCGATCTCCTGGAACAGTTGATCGCTAAGTGAAATTGGAAGACTATGATTAGCTTGGCCTTTATTAGTCATTATGGCATGCAACATAATACTATTGTCTTTCTTTTGAATAATAAAATACTGCTTTCTCGATTTTTTCTAATTCTCTGCTTCTTTATTTATAAAATACTTAGTGTTGATAAATGTTCAAGTTGTTTTATGGTTTTAAAAAAATTAATGTCTCTGTGATGTATGAACTCTCATATATTACCAGGTCTAAAAACTTGCTCCACCTAGTTTCAGTTCACATGGTATATGATTTCTGCAGGATGATGAAAAGGGTGAGACACAGAACCTTCAAGAATGTGATTCTCAATTTAGCATGAAGGATTCAAGGAAAGAGAAAACTTTCAATCCAAACGTTTTCACTGAATTTAAGCTAGCCGGGAGTCAAGAGGTAGCATGTGTAACCTTGCCCATTATGTCAATGAACCTAATATTTTCCAGCAAGTCCTTGTTGAAATTTGCAAAGCAATATATTCCAGGAAATTTCTGTGGATGAGGAAGATGTGCGGAAAGCAAGTCTGTACCTTAAAGATGTTGTACTGCCTAAATTTGTACAAGATTTGTGCGCCCTTGACGTTTCACCAATGGATGGACAAACTTTAACTGAAGCACTCCATGCCCATGGCATTAACGTTCGATATGTTGGAAAAGTAATAAACTTTAAGTTTGTAGCACCATTCAATTAGATTTCTGAGCTTGACTTGAACATTGGGTTTGTGGAGTTTGAGCAAAAAGTGTTGTTTAACGTATCCTTACGATTTTGATTGAATAGCTCATACGTTGCTTGGTGCTATAGGTTGCTGCAGGGGCCAGACATATGCCTCACTTATGGGATATTTGTTGCAATGAAATTGTTGTTCGATCTGCTAAGCATGTTGTTAAGGTAACTGACAGTTATGCCCTTAATCATTATTTTGCATGCAGAGCATCATGTAGGTGATTCAATCTTTATCACCTGAAGGAAAAGGTATTCTGAGTATCTAGATTTTACATACTGCTGCTTTTTTCTTTTGATGAACACCGAGTATAACTTCGTGGAACTTTTTTTGTGATGTAGATTAATTGGTTTTTAACAACGTAATCAGTGTTAAAATTATAAAAACTAGCATTTAGTGAAGAATGCAAGTGATTTTTAATTAGTGGGTTGGTAATATGCTCTGACAGAGTCTTAATTACACTTGTGCTCAGAAAGATGGAAAGAGAAGATCCTTGACTATACAGCTCTCGGACTCTAATATTATCCTTCTTAGAGCACCGTGGCAATTGACATCAGACTGACACCTGTCCTACTCTTGTCCTTTTTCTTAATTAATAAAGTGAATCCTCATGTCTAGAATCTCTCTTTGGATTGGCATTGCATCTTATTCTAATCTTAGAATCCAGAACCCTCTTAGTTATTTTGTTTTATAAAGGCTAATTTGAAAGGGACTTCAATCAGAACTTAAATACATGGTATGTATGGGAAGTGCATTATTACTTGAATTTGTGTATTGATGATTCTCTCCTTAAAGGGAGTTTAAGTACAAAAAGCACGCCCATTTGGCCTCCGTATGAATTTTTGCTTTTTTTTATGCCATCCACGCCCATTAGATGCTCATTTTAAGGAGCTTTGCATTGACATGCAGGACATCTTACGGGATACTGAGGACCATGATCTGGTGTTCGCAATTTCACATTTTTTCAACTGTTTCGTGGGAAAATTTCAAGCTGTTTCTGGAACAGGCATTACAAACAGTTCACCATCGAAATCCCAAAAAAAGGTGTGGGACAGTTTTTCTCCTAAGAACCTATTATCCCATGTTTATATTTGTTGCGTGATTTGGAATTTTGTTACTCGATCCACTTCCTGGATGCTCCTATGCAGTTTGATGAAGAAAGATAATAATGATCTCATTATGTCAACATAGTGATGTAAAATTTGGAAGAAGTTAAAATGAGTCATGAGATTATTCATTCCACCAGTTGACTTACAATATTCATTTTTATCGTCTCCATGTAACTCTGGAACTTACATCGTTACTATTATACAGACACATTCAGGACATCATGCTTCTGGGAAGTCTCCGAAGGGACTGGCTAAGTTGAAAAATGGGGGATATTTGAGGAACAAAGAGTCTGTTTATTTGAGTATCACCACCGATAGTTTGTGGTCTGACATCCAAGAATTTGCAAAACTCAAATACCAGGTTTCTTGGTTTTTAATTGAACTCACCAAGTAGGCTCCGTAAAGCTTGTATTTTACTTCCTTGATATTTCTTCTGCAGTTTGAGTTGCCAGAAGATGCCAGGCAGCGGGTGAAAAAAATCTCGGTTATTCGGAATCTTTGCCAAAAGGTAGTCTTCTCTGTCTTAAACCGAAAATAGAAATGACTGAGTTTAGTTTTTTTTTTTTTTTCTGGAACCAAATTGGTCAGTACATTTTATATTATTACCCTTCCACAATAGGTATAACTCTTTCGCACTGGTCCTTAGTTATCTCATCAATTATTAAAAAATTTAGCGTGCTTGCAAAGAAGATTGTCACCTAGTTACAATTACAGAGCTCCTCATTCACCATGATTTTTGTTTTTTTTTTAAAAAAATATTGAACGGACACGGCATGCTTTTTCTGGTGTAAAAGCCGTAACTTGCTTAACATAGATTGTCAGCAAAGCAATCAATTCTGGAAAGTGCTAAGTTCCAAGGATTGTTATTTATTCAAATTGAGGTTCTTTGGGACTACTACATTATATGCTGTTCGGAATACATTATTTCTGGAAAACTGGTTGTTTTCATTGTTCATTGACATGTCAGTTGTAGAAATTATGTGAGACATTATAATCCAAAGTGTTGAGGAAGTTCTGAAATTGGTTCTTTAATTTTTTATTATACATCACCCACAATCACTTATTTGGACACTTTGAAGAATGATCCGAGTACAAGCTTGTTTCCCGTCAAACAAAATAAACGACGTTCAATATGATAGTAGAACCTCTTTCGCTGGATTTTAGTGTATACCCTTTTTTAATAGTTCATTTGGTTTTTATTTATTCATGCAATCATTTATCTGATTAACAGACTGGAATCACCATCGCTGCTCGCCATTATGATTTTGATGCTTCGACGCCTTTTGAAGTTTCTGACATATTGAACATCCAACCAGTAGTGAAGCATTCAATTCCAGTCTGTTCAGAAGCCAAGGATCTGGTTGAAACTGGGAAAGTTCAACTAGCAGAGGTATGGTTATTTTGTTCCGTAATGAGGAAATTTAAGTTAGACTATGTCATTATTACTCCACCAGTTATATCTGCTATCATATTCTCTTCATCTTGATGGTGATGATACAAAGCTACAAGACAACTGAAGTATCAGTAAAGCTTATTGGTTTGTTCCTATAAGTTTAATTCCTAATTTAGTCCCTCATCTTCCCATATGTTATGAAATTTTAATTGTGACTCATTACCAACATAATATGTGTTGCCTCATTATTCCTTATTATACTGGCCAACATTTTCTGCACTCAAACTTTTTCAATAAATCACAAATTCTTTTTGGGAGCTGTCCAATAATTTTGTGTTCAATTTTCTTTTATTGCCATCTTCAGGGAATGCTAAATGAGGCATACACGCTATTTTCTCAAGCTTTCGCATTATTCCAGCAGGTTAGATTAAAATCTTGCTTAGCCCTTGTATGTTCTGTTGATTTCATTTTATAGGAAATACAACTAAGATTATAAAACGAATACAAAATATTGCAGGTCACTGGTCCAATACATCGGGAGGTCGCAAATTGTTGCCGGTAATTATACTGTGTAATCATGTCATTTTCTAGACGTTTTCCTTGTATATATTAGGTGATACTGGACTTTGTCAATATACTATAGCTATTGTTGGGCATCAAAACTTTGGGCTTTTAATTAGCGTGTTAAATGATTTATGCTCTCATAACTGACTACTGAATATGACTGTAATTATAGTTACTTGGCAATGGTCTTGTACCATGCTGGAGATATGGCTGGAGCCATTATGCAACAACATAAGGAACTAATCATAAATGAAAGGTGTCTTGGCCTAGACCATCCTGATACTGCGCACAGGTTAAACTATTTTTCTTTAGATTGTTTTCACTGTTTTTTCCTTTATATATATATTAGTTGTAGTACAACATCCTTTTATTTCATGGGTGTTTTATACATATTCTTTTTTAAAAAAATAAATGTCATTTAACCGTTTTAAATATTTCATAAAGAAATGCTTTACTATTTTAGTTAAAATGATATTTGTTACCCATAAGACTCGCTCGTCTTAATGTAGCTAACTTGTTATCAAATATTGCTTATCAATTAGATTTGATATATAAATTAGTTTTAATTGATGTATACTAATTTTATTATTTTCTCAATTAAAATTCATGGATACTTTCTTTTATTTATAAAGGAAGATATAATTATTTTTTATTTTATATATGCTATATGGATCTCAAATTGAAGATCGTTAAAACGTGATATTTTACATTTATATATACACATATAAAGTATGGATGTCTGATCGAAGATAAAATTGATTATTTAGATATATCATATTTGAAAAACTGATATCAACAAAACAATTACATATAGTGTAAATTTACTCGAGTGTTTTATAATTTTAAAAATCCCAATCTAGAAATCAAAATCTATGTTACATAGAATTGACACTTAGCATCACAAAACACCAGAAATTGATGCATTGGATTGCAAAGCACCAAGTCTTGTGTGGCTAATTTAAGTGTTTCAATCTTATGTGAGATTATATCCAAGTAGAGGCACCTCATGTTTGGTGATTAGATTTTTGCTTACATCACATTTTCTGTGCAGCTATGGGAATATGGCACTGTTCTATCACAGTTTAAACCAAACTGAGCTGGCATTGCAGCACATGTCACGCGCTCTGCTGCTCCTAAATCTTTCGTGTGGACCCGATCACCCTGATGTTGCCTCTACTTTTATAAACGTTGCCATGATGTATCAAGATATCAAAAAGATGGACACAGCACTTAGATATTTGCAGGAAGCCTTGAAAAAAAATGAAAGACTATTAGGGGAAGATCATATTCAAACAGCCGTGTGCTTTCATGCTTTGGCTATCGCTTTCAACTGTATGGGTGCTTACAAGCTATCTCACCAGGTATGCACGCAACACATATACTTTATTTAGGAGTTTACATGAACTTGCGCATTCTGATGATTGTTTTCTGTTCAGCATGAGAAGAAAACATATGATATTCTTGTGAAACAACTGGGAGAGCATGATTCAAGGACAAAGGAATCTCAGAACTGGATGCAGGCATTCAAGATCAAAGAGGCAAGTAGTATTTTTAGCAATCCTAGCCAACATTCAGCATTTATTTAATATGTAGTATTAGTGTAACCAATGTTTTGTCCTACAAGTCCCGTCTAAATTCCGTTTTTATTTCAATTGACAGAATAATGCACAAAAGCAGAAAGGCGAGATTTTGAAAGCTGTTTCAGCACAAAAGGCTTTTGAGGAGATACTTAAGGTGCTTATTTACCATGCTTTCTTGCATGTTTGGTAATAATAGTGAAATGAAAGCCCAGATTTGGAGCCTTATATGGAAACCCTCTATTCTCCTCTCTTCTTAGGTCTTTAATTGAAGTTTCAAGGACGCATTATAAGAAAATAACCTATGAAGAAAAAAAAAAAATACAAAAATTACTATCTGTAACATTTATGCCTGGATTTATGTTTCCATTTTGCAAAATACATTTAGTTGTTTTCAAGCAAGCCCATATTGTGAGGGACATGCATAATAACCTCTCCTTATAACTAGATTCTTTCTATAAATAGGTCAAAACTCAAAACCCTAGTCCTACTTTTTGTTTGTTATCCAAACTTGATACTCAACCTACAATTCTTGCCCAAGGCCCATCCCCAGATCACCTAACAAATAGCTAATAATTAAATAAATTATAATAAATTCACAATTGATTGTATATTTGTGTGTCAGGCGAATCCCGACCTTTTACAAGCAGTTGAAGCTGCCACCGTTGCCAACAAGGCAAGCAGCTCCAAATCCTCCATACTAAAAGGCAATGACAACAGAGGAGCATTGGCCGCGGAATTAGCCCGGAAAAAGTTGAACGCAAAAGGTCTCTTGAAAACGCCTACTGCAATTAATCAGCTAATCGACTTCATAAACTCAGGAGTGCCCGACTCAAAGAAGGAAAACGAGGGCAGTGCTTTTGACTCAGGGGTTAAGTCAAAAGCAGACGGGCCAAAGCCCGGTCCAGTCGGGCTGGGGCCCGGGCTAGGTTCTTTGGATGCCAAGAAGAACAAGGTGAAAGGCAAAGGCGTGTAGTCTTCTTGAAGGGATTTTGGGTTGTGGAGTGTGTTTTCTCAGTTTTGTGCTAGGGTTAGAGTATCGTTTTCTTGTGATCACGAGTGTACTTGTTTGCTGCGTCTTTTGTGGTTTATATTCTTTTCAATAATTTGCGATCACAAGGATTTTTGGGGTGGTGTGTGCCAACAGAGAGAAGAATCTGTCTGGTGTGGTGTTGGTCTCTTCTTGAATGACACAACAATAAATGAGGCGTTTGAGTTATTATTGTCTTGATGATTTTCATCTCCTGATGGCTTGAATTGTCTCTGGAAATTTACTGTTTTGAAGGAAAACCTGTGCTAGTGATGGGGAATGTGAAATCTTGGTAAAACTATTATATTTACAAGAATTTTGAATGGGTAATTTATTAAAAAAAAAATTGAAAAATAAGTGGACAAAAAAAAAAGAAAAAAAAGGAGTAGATCGAAATCGAAAGCATGTATTCACAAAATACGGTTTCTTAATTTAATTTTTTAGTGAAAAACGTATTCTGTGAATACGGTTTGTAATTGAATTGTTTAATTATTTGAAAAACATATTGCCGAAAAAATGTAAATCCAATTTGAATTTTAAACCGTATTTACGAAATACGTTTTACGAAAACCCTAATTTTGATTTGAAAATTTCAAATTAATTTGAAAACCCTAATATTAATTAATTTTTAAGAAAAAATTGAATTAAAATAAAACGTATTTTCTTTATACGTTTTTTAATATAATAAAAATTAAAAACGTATTTACAAAATACGGTTTTTAGCAAAATATAAGTAAAAAAAATCTTCTCCTCCACCCCACTGCGCCATATACTGCTGGGCTTCTGCGAGAACAAAAAAAAATCACTTCCTTCCATTTTCTCTTCATCTCAAAATAAAAAAAATAAAAAATAAAAACTTTTAACAATCAATCGATTCGGAGAAGAGGTTAGTTGTTATTTTAATGTAATGTAATTACATATTTTTTTTTTTTTAATGAATTTGTAAGAAATATTTGTTGGTTTTGATGAGTATAGTTTAGAAAAGATTTATTGTTGATTTAATAGTTGACTTAAATGATTATACATTGTTTTTGGATGATGGGTTTCGGTGTATGTTGAGAATTTTTGCGATAATTGGATGATTTGTATTGTATAGTTGGATTTTGAGAATTAGGGTTTTGGAGAGTTATTTTATAAAAGAATTGGTGATTTTTTTTTTCTTATTGTAGTATTAGTTGAAAATATTTATCTTGATTTGAGTAAAAGAATAATTGAATTTTTTTGGGAAATTATGTGTTGTTGTAATTGGGAAGAATTGAAAGTGTATTATATGTTATTGATGAATTTTATTCTTTTGTTGTGGGAATGATAAAAGAATAATTGAATTTTTTTGGGTGTTGGGTTAGAAAGTATGTGTTGTTGTAATTGGGAACAATTGTTTTTTGCAACAGGTATAAATGGCGTCTACCGGACCATACTTTGTTAATGTGTATTGGAATGTTCCGAAGGAGTTGTTATATGATTTTTCAGATTTTAAAAACTCTCTGGATGGTTCATTTAGCATTGGGGAGAAGCTATCATTTAAAGAATTGGTAGATATTCTTTATGAAAATTTTGGGTTTCATCGAGATGGTTGGATAATTGAGAAGATTAGTTTACTGAGTAACGAACGCGATGGTTCGTGGAATATTGGAAACCTGAATACTAATAGTGCTGTTGATTGGATATATAATTTTTCTCCTTTCTCCTATGTGTATTTGCATTTGGAGTTGAAGCAGGTTACGCAGGCACCTACAGAGGTTACGCAGTTTGAGGATGTTGCCTCTTTTTACGGTGGAGTGGCTGATGTTGAGGGTACGTCTACGTCCACTTCGCATGTTCGTAATTTTGGCGAAGGGACAAGCTCAACAGTTAGAGAATGCGATAATGAGGAAGAAAGTGATCATGATTTCATTCGCGGTGAAGACGATTTCACAGATGGTACCTCATAAACGGAAACGGATAGATCAATAAACGAGGAGAGTGAACCAGAATTTATTGAAGAACACCCATTTCCTAGTAGCGGTAAGCACGTCTATCGCGAGATGGGTGAGTGTGACCCGGCGTGTGTAGACCGGGATGAGTATGCCTTGCCAACCTAGAATGGGAATGTCGAGACTATCCGTTTGGGTACTGTTTTCCGGTCCAAGGGAGAAGCACAGATTGGTATCATGAGTTGGAACGTTAGCAGGTTGAGGGAGGTTAAGACAACCTATTCGAATAAGAAATCATTCAAGGTGGTGTGCACGTCCAGCGAAGATGAACCTTGTCCGTGGAGGGCTCGGGTGACACACTGCACACGAGATCATGAACTGTGGGAAGTAACGGAATGGACTGCGAGGCACAGTTGTCTGCAAGAAGTCGAAAAAAATGACTACAGAAATGTAACCGCCACAATGATCTCAAATCTTGTCATGACCAAGATTCAAAAGAAGCCCGACTACAGTGTTACCCTGATCCAGGAGGATGTTAAAAAATGTTGGAAAGTCGATGTGAGCTACAAGAAGGCATGGCACGGGAGAAAAAAGGTCATCGATCGTTTGTATGGCACTTGGGAATCGAACTTCGCCAAACTACCTCAGTAAGAAAAAATTTATTAAAATGTACGTGTTATTTGTCACTATATTTATGTATTGACTATTACGTTTTGTAACGTGCAGGTTTTTTGCGGCGCTTCAAAAAGCGAATCCTACTACGGTTGTAGAGTGGGAATGGCAAGGTGGAGAAATGGCGGCCTACTATCAGCACAGAGAATTCAAATTTGTTTTCTGGGCGTTTGGTCCCGCCATTCAGACCTTCCAGAGATGCCCGCCGGTAATTAGCATGGACGGCACACATTTGCGTGGCTCGTACAAGGGGAAGTTGCTCGTGGCCGTTGCACAGACTACGAATAAGCGGCTATTGCCAATTGCCTATGCGATTGTCGATGAAGAGAGCCAGGAAAGCTGGTCATTTTTCCTGACAAATCTCCGGCAACATGTTGTCGGCGACAGACAAATATGCTTTTTTTCGGACAGGGATGCGGGCGTACAGAGTATTCTCTGAATACGTTTTACAAATAAATCTCCGGCAACATGTTGTCGGCGACAGACAGATATGCTTTTTTTNAACTGCAAATCGAACCCGTGAATTAGGTAAAATGGCCAAAAAATTTCAATTTTTTCAATAAATACGAATTTTCATAATACGTTTTTAAGGAAAAGTACAATTAAAATTTGATATTTTAGGGTGTTAGGGTTCATTAGAATTAGGGAATTGATTTGCATTAAGGGTTTCGATTTAGGGGTTGATTAGAATTAGAGAATTCTCGGAATTAGGACGTTAGGGTTTCGATTTAGAACTTCAAATTAGGACTTCGAACTCTAATGTTGTTGAAATTGTGAAATTGTGAACTATTCTGTGAACTAGTTTGTCAAGTATTGTGTGAAGTTCGATTTTTCGGAATTAGGACTACAAATTGAACGTCGAATTGTGAAATTGTGGATTCGATTATAATTAGGTGTATCGCGAGTGTATAAATTATTGATGAATTATATTGATGGATATAAATTATTTGCTCAGGTGAGTTGACTTGATATATTTGCTAAGGTGAATTGAGTATTGTGTGTACATACAAATTGAACTATTTTCTAATAAATAACCTTCATCCTAATATTTACTTTTTTGTATTGTGTGTAGATAAATGGCTTCATCATCCTCCTCACAGCCTCAGCAGTACAGTGTCCATCCCGGTCCGAGGGATGACACTCTTCTATATCTCCAGTACCGCCACCGGTCACAGGCGGTATTTAGTAATGCGCCGGGAGCTCGTGACACGGCGCTCACAAACCGCCGTTTCGACAGTCAATTCTGGGTGGCTTTGTCAAGCCAGCCACGGTCGGTTTGGGAGGTCATCGACCGGGCTGGTTTCGGACACTTGTTTCGGATGGGTCGAGTCCAAGCCGACAACAGCCTTATTACTGCTCTCGTGGAGAGGTGGCGCCCAGAGACGAATACATTCCATTTTGATTTCGGCGAGGCCACCATCACGCTCCAGGACGTACAAGTCTTGTTCGGTCTGCCAATCCGTGGAGCTGCTGTTGTGGGAGTGACTAGAGATCTATCACCCCTACAGTGGCGAGAGAGGTGCAAGGACTTGCTAGGGTACGAGCCCTATGTTCAGGTATATTTTTTCATACAATTTTTTTTGAAATATATGTGAACTCAATTTTATCGTTTTTAATATGGAAAAACTACTTTCAGGATCCTCCCACCACCGAGGAAGAAAAGGCAGCCCAAGATCCAAAGTCTTGGGATATTAGAGGCCAGTATCTGAATGATGGAGGGTTAGAGGAGGAAAGCAACCGTGTGTTGCAATAAGGGAAATCGGACATCGTGTACGAGCAGAGGGCGAGGGCCCTTATCTTCTGATGCATTGGGTCCTTCATCTTCCCCGACCAGCGGGCGAATGGCGTCCCACTTTACTGGCTGGACCTGCTGCAGGACATAGATGCTCTTCAGGGGTACAGTTGGGGTTCAGCTCTACTGGCCGGAGTATACAGAGCTTTGTCAACCTCGTACAAGGCCAAGGAGAAGTGGATGAAGCACTGTATTCAATTGATCCAGGTAATTTATTTAATTGTTATTTGAAAATTTGATATTTTATTCTTTCTTACTTCGACTAATACCTAATAACAAAATTAATGTCCATTTGTGTAGGTTTGGGCATGGGAGCATATCCCTCGTATTCGCCCAATAGTCAAGAACAGTAGGTTTGATACTCTGCCGATTGTCCATTGGGAGCGAGGTAACCTTTATTTTTATTTAATCCGTACATTATTTTCATTATCAAATCTTGTGTTACAAACTTTTTTTTTTCTCTGATTTTTAAGGTGGGTGGGACCGAAAAAGAAGTCCAACATAGCCAATACATTGGTCGCCTACCGGGATCAGTTGACAGGGCTGAGAGAGTATGATGTAATATTCTTAATTTCTATTACTTCATTTATCTTTCTTTTTTTGTTTATAATTTTGTAATAACTTAATTACTAATTCAATTGTTATTTTTTTTTACAGTTCGACTGGCAGCCCTATCGACAACACCTGCAGGATGATACTCTCCCGGAGGCGTGCTCAAGAGATCCACAATTTTGGATGTACCTGGGGTGGATTTTCAGCCGGAACATCCGGGAGGTACACCTGCCTGACAGGGTCCTCCGTCAATTTGGGTGTCGCCAGTCCATACCCCACGATCCGATCATTCTGGATGAGCGAGAGTGGGACGCACACCACAAGGGTCAGGGGATGACTGGGAGAGCGTTTTACGATTGGGCCGCATTCCATGTGCCCTTTCTGAGCTCGTGGACCGAAGAACTAGAACAACGTCTCCTCCCAGTTGTCCTCGTGCATGACTATCTGCAGCCGGAGCAGGGTTACATTGATTGGTTTCACAGCAGGACTGTGAGATTCATCAATAACCCTGCCAATTACCCGGTGTTCCAGCATGCGGGCGGGTGTCAGCCACTTGCCGAGCGCTTAGGCTGTCAGGTAAGTGTTCATTATTTGTGTTTATTATTATTATTATTATTATTATTATTATTATTATTATTATTATTATTATTATTATTATTTTGTGTTTCATACTAATTATTATGAAATTTATTTATAGACTTCTGCACTTCAAGGGGTTTATGGCGCATTATCAGACATTCAACCATTAATGCCTCAAATCCCTCCAGAAGCGCAGACCGGCTTCCAACAGTCGTACAACTTTGCCTTCTCTTCTCTGACTGTTGGGGGCCAGGGTGTTCCACATGGGGGGCCGTCCAGTCAAGTTTTCTCCCATGACGAATACATTGCTCCCATGAGGACACAGTCGCACACGGCCAGGCATCAACCTGCCCCCAACATTGGTGGGGGTAGAAGACCTCGGGCCCGTCCCCGCGCTCAGCCGTCAGCCCAGCACATCCAACCTGAGCAGCCCGAGCCTCAACAAGGTGAGATTTTTAAATTAACAATTTCTTTTTCTTTTTTTTTTTTTTTACAATCCAATTTATGATTTCTTTTTTTAATTGAATTATTCAGATGAAGAAGATGAAATTGAGCAGGCTTTTCAAACTGACACACTTCTCACACCTCAACCTTCGTCTTCTACTCACATGGTATATACTCGGAGGGGGTCCAGACAGCGCAAGCCTACAAACCCATTCACTCCTTCCTAGTTACTTGTGTTGAATTCGTGAATTTTGTATTTATTTTGAATACTTGGATTGGTTGTATAAACTGAATTATATCGTTTTGTATATATATTGTTTGTTCGACAAATTATTGTGTTTCATTTGTTTGTTTATATGGTATGTTGGATTATTATTGGGCGAATATGTTGATATTAGTTGCTCGAACAGGTGTATTTGGTTGTGAACAGTTATATTTGACTGTGAACAAGATTTCTGATAGAAACATATTTCATGAATACGTTTTTTAATTTTTTAAAATATAAAACGTATTTCATGAATACGTTTATCTAATTTTGGGGAAAAATTAGGGCACCAAAAATAATTCGGGGCAAAATTACATATAAATACGGTTTATGTTTCAAAATTTTTTTTTGAGAAAAATTATTTTTAAGAATTGTAAAAATTAATTTTATTTGTAACACGTATTTCGTAAATACGTTTTATAATAAAAAATATATTTAAACTAATTTTAAATAAAACACGTACTTATATAATACGTGTTTAATTTTTTTTAATTTTAAAACGTATTTATCTAATACGTTTTCCTTTGATTTAGTTAAGTTAATTGCGTTAATTAAGGTAACAAATTATTTTTAAGGAAAACGTATTCGGTAAATACGTTTGTTTATTGAAAACGTATTATCTGAATACGATTTATAATTAAAACGTATTCACTGAATACGTGCTTTTTATTTTGGTCGACACAATTTTTTATTTTTCTTGTCCACTTCATTTTTTTTTTGTTGATAAAAAATNTTCTGTCGGGCAATTGGAAACCTTTTGAAATGAAATTGATACTGAAAAGTCGTTACTGAACTTTTTGATTGCAAAAATATTGGTTAGGTTCTGTGGCATTACTGAAATTTCAAGAGAATAAAAAAGTTGGAAAGTAAATCCTTAAAACAACCCAGACTGCTTAATATCGTCAAACGAGGCAGACTCGTTGACATTTTCCTTTTCATGATAGAGGACACGTTTAAATAATTGATTACAATTCTAAAGGAATAACTTTTTACTAGTGCAAGAATTCATAGATGACCAGCACCTACACTAATACAAAATTGTAATCTAACCTTTAAGGGGTGAATTGTTTATAAATTGAACTAAAAAAAAAATAAAAAAAAACCAATCAAAACTCAAATTTAACTCAAATTTTAACTTCAATCAGCCCAACTCCAACAGCGAAAGTACAAAAGGACCTTGCTAATTCAACAAAATTACAAAAAGAGGTCCCCTTAACCCTTAAGTCTTATTGAATTACTACAGGAACCTATCACTTCCAATAATTACAGAGGTCTGTAATAGCTCATGCTATCTTACATTCACCTAAAATCAATTGGATATAATGCTGCAATCAACCATTTTTATAATACTCTCAACGTCAGTTTCATAGATACTACAGTCATCCCACCAGCAATTGCCATTTGAATTAATCTTCAAGTTAAAGGGTGCCTGGGATCAAAATATTGTCAAGCCACTTGGTTTTGGTGAAATTGAAATCAACCCTACAAACAGTTTCTCGCAATCTTCAACATCAATTTGTTGTGTTTTTTTTTTGTTTTTTTTTTTTTTTTTTTTTTTTTTTTTTTNGGGGATTGGATTCAGGATTCGGATGGAATTTGTCAGGCCGCTTTTACTACAAGTATCAAGGGCTCATTTTCTTCTCTACTAGCGGAAGCTTTGGTTATTCGATATGGCTTACGATGTGCTCGAGATTCAGACTTTGAACTTCAGGGGGTTTTGACGGACTCTTTAGGTGTCGTTGGAGGGCTCATTTAGATGGAAGATCGCGACCCTCTCTTGAAAGTATTTTCTGATATAAGAGAGCTCATGTCTATCCTGGAGTGCAGAGTGTAGTACGTGTGGACACATTCCCCGGAAGAAGAATCAAGTTGCTCATAAAATAGCAAATTGCGCGACAATGTCTCTATCTTCTTGCTTTTGGAAGGATTCCCTCCTCATTATATTCTCCTCTAAAGAGATGTATTAAGTTCTTAGTTGCTTCAATGCAATATTTATTTACCAAAAAAAAAAAAAATAATAATTCTCGTAAATTGATTTATCAGAAAAATAATTAGGATAAAAGAGAATAAAATAGCAACGTCGTTCTGAGGCAATCTTTGAGAGCAAAGGTTGGCTTTTGACGTTTTTAGTACCGACTGAAAAAAAAGACCATTATAAAATATTGCTGCTAACTATAACGCAGTCCCAAAAGTACTTACGTTGGGATGCTGACATTGAAGTGCACATACTGATCCCCAAATGAAATAGTGTTTTTCACTTTAATTCCTGCAGAACAAATCGAGAGTTTTATGACAATCCAAATTATGCATCAGAACTTATAAATTTCTACAAGTAGGCAAGGAAGTAAAGAAATGGAGACCTTTTCCAGACAAACTACGTTTCGCAACCAGAAAGCACATAATTTTTTCACTTTGAACCATGAATGAACAATTAGTTTATAAAAGTGACCTATTAAAGCTAATGAAGGCATTCACACATGGCTATTTCAAGGAAGATATGCAAACATAGCCCCCTAAAAGGTTAGAATTATACATACAGTAATTCTAGAAGAGAAATTCCATTATTATGATAATCAGACTGATTAAGAACAAGGGAAAAGTATTATCAAGAGGGGTAAATGCTTACCCTTTTTCCTCAAAACAACCTTTTGGCCAGGTTGAGTTCCAGGCCGAACCTACACACCACATATAGAAAATCAATCACAGTTAGAGAACGTTATTAGAGGACAATATCATATATATATATATATATATAAGCTTGGCATTCTAAGCAGAAGTTCTGGATTTCAACATATAAAGTCTAGAATCCCTTCCCAATGCAACCCAACACGAAAAAAGAAGGAAAAAAAATACAAGGTGACAGAATTTTTCATCAGCAGAAAGAAAACATCAAAACATGAAAAAGTAGGTTGCAACAACAATGTTCACATATTCACTGTTACATTATCTAAAGAAGAAATCGGTAAATAAAGTTATTCTTTGACAAACCTTAACAACAACATCGCCTGTCAGAGTGGGAACCTGTATCGTTCCTCCCAAAATTGCCTGCAAAAGAACATAAACCTTATTAACAATATCCACGCCCATAAAATTGATAATCAGACATGACAAAAAGGACAAGCATCACCTTCTGTTATTCATGAGACTAAAAGTTACATATTTTACTAAATGGTTTATTCTATTTCAATATTAACTCGTAATAAAGCCACCAACCAATTGATAGATATGTTCTCTTGCATAGACAAATATTATCCTGTCACACGGCTTCTTCTTGTTCTTTCAATTGTGAAAACCTCAGAAATTACAATTTTCAATTACTACCTGAGTGATGCTCAAAAATGCATCTACGTGGATATTAGGCCCTTCTCTACGGAACACTGGATCTTCTCTGACCTGCCAAATACATTCAGAATTGTTTTTGAGCATGGGAGCTACAACCTCAATCAAGCTGCCCGAAAGAAAGGGAATATTAAAAAGCAAAGGAGCTAATTTATCAACCTTAATTAAAACAATAAGATCACCAGGCTGATTTCCATCAGGATCTGCCCCTCCACTTCTAGGAATCTTAATAATTTCATTATTGTCCACTCCTGCACATATACAATGTAAAATCATAAGACATTTCCTATTAATGATCTTCGACAAAGTGAAATCTACAAAGCATGCACCACCATCATTTTCAACTTCTCATCATAAAGTTTCAACCCTCACAGAAAGAACAATCCAAAACATTCTCAAGATCGATTCTAAGAATCAACACCACCACTTTGACTTTGGAAATATCTGGAAAATATAATTCTTCTAAGGACAGTTAATTTTACATCAGTGATAGCAAGTCAAAATATCACAAAAAACGGTGCAATAACAAGTCCCTCATGCAGCTTATGCAGGCCCAAATATTAAGCTGCTTTAGCAGGTATATCCAAAATAAAACCACCAAACAAAAATCTACCTTGATTATCATTAAAATTGGCAACGTCTGTATATCAATATTTTCCTATTATTGTCAAAAATTGTGTAATAAATATGTAAGAAAGGTGAAAACAGAATGTATGAAATAACTTTTACAATGAGCTAACCTGCCATCACATTTAGCTTTACAGTTTTTGCACCTCTCACGACCCGTTTTCCCTTGCAAGACTTGCAGAAGCTCTGTTGCCAAAAGTAGAGAAAGTATATAGTGATACAGGTTAATTCAATGAATAACATACAAACTTTCAATCATTAAGTTCGTTCATGTCATATGAATAACAATGTGTCAATAATGTCTTTGCAGTCCAAAATCTTCCAGCAACAAATTGTAGTCCATAATCTTCCAGATGACAATCCCATTAATGCCCATGTGCAAACTAATAACACCAGAAGCATCCATGCAAACAGAGGTTTGAGATTGCAAAACTGATACATAACAAACTAACTGTCCTAGATGACCAATAAATGAGTAATCAGCAACATAAACTATAAATAACATTTATTCTTCACTATATTGATGGATGTCATTTAATGAACAAAATACAATAACAACACCAGGCATATGAACAGGTGATTACTGAATCTTGAAACTGTGCATTCTATTGAAAAAATGTACAATATCATACCGACACAGTTTTTCCTTCGCCTCCGCAATTCGGACAAGTTGATTGAAATGTAAATGGGCCATTTTGTGATACAATCTGGGATGATAAACAAGGATATTAGATATATTGATATGTAAAAGGGCCATTTTGTGATACAATCTGGGATGATAAACAAGGATATTAGAATTAAACCACATATTACGCAAAAGCAAGAGCTGAAGGTATTTACCATGCCAGAGCCTTTGCATCGTTTGCATGTTTCAGGTCTTGTTCCAGGAGGAACTCCAGTTCCGCCTAATAGAAGCAAGAATTAATGAGAATCACATTACGAAGATGCACACACAACCTATGAAATGAAGGTTTTTTACGACAGTAGTGCTACACAAAATATAAGTGGAAAAAAAAAGATTAACATTGACAAAATAAACCTGGCATTCATGATATGCAAAACTGTATCACTAAACAAAACAAATTAAGGCACCAAATTTAACAAGGGAATAGACATTTAAAATGAGCTGTCTTCAGAAATAATTGACAATACCACAAGTATCACAAGCCAAATCAGTCAGGATGCTAAGTGTCTTGGTGCATCCCTGGACAGCTTCCATAAACGATAGTTCCAGTGATACCTGGCGTATGTGCCAAAACTGTTAAACTACAATTCAGGGGGAAAAAAGTTGCTAACTTTATAGAGGTACCACACTCTCACTGAATGTAGATCATAACCTTAACATCTTCTCCACCTACTCCTCTGAAGATGTTGAAAATCTGATCTCCACAACAAAATGAGAAAGAAAATATTAGATTGTCAAAGATTAAAATTTTATAGCAGTATGACAAAGAATTGACAAGAATGTATGATAGCATTCAAGATCAGATTATATAGCTAGGGGACACGTAACATACACTACAAGTTATGAAGTCATACGATTAATCAAAACTGTACAAAGTTTAAGGTGATCATACAGCAATTAACAAAGTAAGTTCAGTACAATTAGTAGTACTGCATGTAATGGCTATTTGGAATATAACACCTAATCCTCTTCTTGTTCCCCTCAGAATAATCATTGGGGTAGTACCATAACAATATCCAACCCCATACAACTCTTAGCATCAACAAGGATAAGGATTCCATCAACACTTCAGAATGAAATAAGAAAAACAGTAGAAGCCATACATGTACAGAACAAAAAAGAACAGAGATTCTGTAACGAAAAAAAAAATGCTTACATCAGAATTTCTAAATATGTCCTGGAAAGGATTAAATCCAGCACCAAATGGATCAAACCCAGAGCCTTCACCATTCCCAGCACGTTCGAAAGCTTCATGGCCAAGCTGTTAAAAGGAAATGAACAAATATAATTCTGATATAAATCAGATGGAATGATAAGAAAAAAAAATCAATTCCCTTATCGTGCACATAATCAATCCTACATACAAAATATTCCAAAATGCTGCTGAGAACTTATGCAATTCCGGAATTAGCAAGTAAGATTTATTTCTGACTAACATCTAAAGAAGTCACAATGCTGTTTATCATATCAGGGCAAAACAGATGCAAAGTTGTGTGCATTTCCAATTTCCAAATATCAGAAACTTATAGTTACAGATAGAGTATGTGCTACAAAATCTTGCTATCTGGTCCTTTAATTTTTTTTACGTGCAACATTACAGTCAGTCCCTTCCCTTCTATCCCATCACAAGCAAGAAGAAGGTTAGACACCAGAGCTGCATAAAATACTTAAAAGGCCCACTTCTTGACCATGGTTGCAACTGATAAGAGCTAAGCATATAAATTAGTATGGACAATGTTATACCTGATCATATTGTTGGCGCTTTTCATCATCCTTCAAGACCTACATAATTGAGACCATAGAACAAAATTAAAAATATATACACTCACCCACACACACATGTTGGTATTTGGAAATTACTTTGTTGAACCTGAAAAATTTCAGAATATACCTCATAAGCCTTCTGAACTTCTTGAAATTTTCTTTCAGCTTCTGGGTCATCTTTATTTGTATCAGGATGCAATTTCTTTGCAAGCTGCATAACAGAATCATATATGAAAACTAGAAGGTGGTCCACTATTCAACATATTTAAAAACTGTATATGGAGTGACAAGATAGAAACATACTCCATAGTAAGCTTTCTTTATTTCCGATGCCGTTGCATTTTTATTGACACCCAGAACATCATAAAAATCTCTTGACAAATGTGCTTCATGGGGAGTTCCATCAAAGATAAAAATGAGAAAAAGTTACAAAAACAAACAAAAAAAAAAAAAAGAAAGAAAAAAGAAACAAAATCATCAACATAAAAAATCTTAGAAAGATGTTAGACATACATCATGCTGAACGATCATGTAACAAGTTCTTGCCGTAACTTCACTTGGTATTTACAACCAAGTGTAAGAATTAATCATAACCAACCCAGAGGCTTAATGTGTGCGTGTAAAAATAGTGTAAATAATTACCAGTGCCATGGATCGATCGTGCTCCGCGCAAATTATCATTGAAAGATGGTATCTTCAACAAATACTTCTCAAGACCAACTGTATTGAATTAAAAGAAAAAATCCGTCATTTACCGATCGAGCAATTAAAAAAATCAAACCTTCAATTCCCCAATTTCTCCTACCTTGTCCATATCTGGAATTTGGAGGGCACCTGGATTGATTAAACAGATAGGTACTGAAGCTCCTCCCGCCCCCACGCACGAAGTAATTGCACAGTAGCTGCAGCCAATCGAAACAATAATTGCACATCAATATTCAGGATACACACGCACAAAAATACAGCATTTTTCGCATATACGTAGGCAGGGAAATGTGGGAGACGTACGGCTGAATCGGAAGTGTGGAGGAGATACGAGGCGAGGGAGCGGCGAGCGAGGCGGAGGCCGTGGGACCTGACCATTGATTTGCTCTGCAACTGTACGAAGAGGAGAGAGAAGAACAGGAGGTGAAACGGGGTTGGGAGTAAAACCCTAAAGAAACCCTTTTATTTAATTATTCTCCAATTAAGGAAGAGGGACTATTTGATTGCATGGTGCGATCTGTTCAAATTAATCGAAAAACAAGAAAATGGAGAGCACAGAGCTGTTGGAAAGTTCTAGAGGCAACTGCAGAAATGCAGAGGGGTAAGGTTTCCCTAAAAAAAAAAAATATTGTAACAAATTTCATAAAATACATAAATAGTAATTTTGACTTAAAAAATAAATGATTGACTTACTTTTATAAGTAACAAATTAAAAACACACGTGATAAATGATTCAAAAATTGAATATTTGGATTTTATATTGCCAAGCCATTTTATTTGATAACTAAATTGATTGTCTTATTATTTCCTACCTAAATCCATGTCATTCTCTTTAAGATTGAAGATTTTTAGGTTTTCAAAACTCAAATCAATAAATATTCCATAAAATTGGAAATCATTTGAATTTGGAAAATGTGAGACTTGACTGTGATATACATATTAAAAAATATATCAGTACATTTTTTGTAAACAAATCAAATAATTTTGGGAAATCAAATTCAAATCAATTGATATCCCATACATAATTTGTGCATATTTACTTGAATTTGGTATCTTATTTTCTTTTTGGGAAAAAGCAGTTTTATATGTAAACACCAATTTATCCCATATTCTTTTATTAGTTTATCAAATCTACTAGTACGTAGCCCGTGCAATGCACGGGACATAAATATTAAATGAGTCATTTCCACAAAGCTTGTCTGTTAAGTAGCTCGTGTGATTACTTGTAGCTTTGTGACTTTTTGGCCCATTTAGGGCATTTTATATACAGGTTGGGGGTCGGCCTTAACCCCCCACCCTACTGGGGTGTTGGTTTAAAAAAAAAAGTAGCTCGTGTGATTCACGGGAGATATTAAATGAGTGGACAATAGGGTTTGTCAGTTAACGCCTAAAAAAGTAATAGAGTTTGATCATCTATTTTTTTACCTCTTTCATCAACGTCATCTTTTTTGTCGAGACATTAAACCTGAGTCCGGTAGTGGTAGCGCTAGACCGTAAATTAATTAATATATTATCTCGCTCACATGTTTATAATAATATAAATTTAATTTTATTATATATATTTATTCCTTGATATAAGAAAAATAATAATTTTACGTAATCTTGTTCCTCGTATAATACTCATATTATTATATTATAAAACTTATTGTAATAGCATGCTGACCCGTTTATATTATTATAAACAATATTTTAACATATATATTTATTTTTTAATACAAAATAATAATAATTTTACATATTTTGGTTCATCATAATACTCAATTATTAATCTATCAAAAAACCTATTATCATATAATGTCATTATCATTTATAACACTTGTAAAAATAATATATTTTTTATATAATGATAAATTTTTGATGTATATTAATATTATTTAGTGATGTAATTAATTTAAAAGATATAAGCAAATTTAATGTTTGTTAGGAATGTGATTATATGTAAGTTGAGATAAAATGAAATGTATCAAAAAAATCTGCTTATGATATTTTCCATTAAATGTTTGAATGAATTTGAAATTGAAATTACAAATCAACCTCTAGTTATTCAAATAATTCTAAAAAAGCTACCAATTGTAGTAAAATGTACGTGACAATATATTATAAATATACATGACGTCAGTAATGTTATGAATCTTTAAGTTCCTAAGTATATATTGTTTAGATATGAAACTAATTAACTTATATGTTAAGATAATATATATAAATATATGTATTGTATGAATATACACGTGACAAGTTATTATATTTATTTATATATTGTTTGTATATTTGCTTGTATTGTTTATTATATTTGTATATAAATATATTGTTTATATATTTGAACAAATTATTTGTTTATATATTGTTTAAATATATATTGTTTAGATATGAAACTAATTAACCTATATGTTAAGATAATATATATAAATATATGTATTGTATGAAATCTTTACGTGTTTGTTAAATTTTTCTCCTAAAAAATTCAAAATACATTTAGGCATGTTTTGTTTGAAGTTTGAAATTCAAATATGCATTTATATAAACAAATCCCATGATTTGTGCTAGCATTAAATGCTACTTGATTTTTTATTAAAAAAATTAAAAAAAATACCAAAAATGGAATGCAATTAATATTCTCTATTTTTTTGTTTACTATTTTTGAAAAATATTAATTCTTATTATATATATATAGATTATGAAATAACGTGCAATTTTCATATTTCTTATGAGATATCCTCACGTCGATTTTGTATCCTTTTTTTGTAATTAATAGATTTAATGTTTTATTAAAATTCAAGTTTTCTATATTTCAAACACAATACACAACACATTTCATATCCTTTTTTTTTTGTAACAAAACCGGATAACCTTTTGTTTGATGTCAATCCTAATCCAATTATTTAGGAAAATAAATTCAAATAAAATTAAAATCCAAATGCAAATTCAAATAAAATTAAAATCCAAATGCAAATCATTTCAAATTTGGTCATCTTTTTATTTTTTTTAATGAATTAATTTTGGGATGTAAATTCAGTGCATATATGCTACGATTTTTTCAAATAATAGTGATACACACCCAATACAACTCTAATAATTATCTTTTGTAAAATGATCCTCTTTCTATTTCCTAACAAAATCCATGTGAATCTCTAAAGATTGACAGATTTTTAGGTTTTGAAATTCACCTAGAATTTCAAAAGAGCATGTTTACTAATAATTATCTTTAGGTTTTGGAGATTGAAACTAAAGAGCATTAATTCTTCACATGCGCTAGAGCTAAACTCATCTGGAAGTTGTCCCCTCTCTGTTGGGATGGCATTGGCCTAGACACAGGGAATTTCAAATGCTGGTGGCCCAAACTTGCTGCTTATGCAACTCAGCCTTGCTTAAAGCTAGGCTTCAGCTTACTGCCTGCACCCTATGATGGATGTGGAAAGATAGAAACTTGCTTGTTAAGTTAGCCTTCTGTTTCTTGTGTTGCTTTGGTTGGTTGTGTTCTAGCTAGGATCTTGTTGATCAATTACTAGTCACCTTTTGGGTTTGAGTCTCTTATAAAGAGTACTAGTCAAACCTCCGGGCTCAGGGCTTTTGTCCCATGGTGTTCCTTTGTTTACCTCATGGTTGTTGTGTTAGGCTACCGAGTTTTGGTGCTCCTTTGTTTACCTCATGGTTGCTGTATTAGGCTACTTAGCCTTCAGTCCTATTTGTACTCTTTTTTGGAACTATAATATCTAACTTTTCGAAAAAAAAAATGGTTGATGTATTAGGCTAATTAGTCTTCGTTCCTATTTGTACTATNGATGAATTTTTTTTTTAAAAAAAATAAAAATAGTAGAGATATAAGGAAAGAAAAAGAAGATAGAAGTATCCTCCCACCCACGAGTACTCGTGCATTTTTAAGAGAGAAATTTTACCAGTCAATACTTTTTTTGGAGTTTCAGAGAACTAGATAATGTAAAAGTATACAGTTAGAAGAGATAAATTTTACCACTCAATCCTAAAGAAACTTTTTTTGGAGTTTTAGAGAACTAGATAATGTAAAAGTATAGTTAGAAGAAATTGTTGGAGAAAAAAAAGAATGCTTGTGATTTACTATTGTCTTTAAATGAATCTCGACGAGGCTTCCCATTCCGAAGAGGGCCATGTCGCAGGCCCAATCTATTGGATCCATCGCGTGTTACAAACTAAGGTGGGTCTACATATACATGCGCCAAGTTCATGTCCTTAATTACCCGATCCAAACTAGCTCCCTAAAATGTAGTCTCTGTATGATTATATTATCATTGAAACTTCTATAAATTTCTGACTACACAAAATTATTCTTCTCGAGACCTTTTATTTTATTTTATTTCTTCACAAGTGGAAATTAGAATTAATTATCGAACAATTTATCATTCACTCTACATGTACACAGTACTATAAATACTATATATGAAAAACAAGTAGCGGTCGATTGATTTCATAACAATTTCCTTTTTAAGTTCAGAAAATTAAAGTATTGTCGTATTGCATCAAAATCACAACATCAAGGGAGAAAACAAATCCATACACTTACATGACCAAAGGAAGATTGAGACATAATAACCACCACCAGCAAAACACTTGCCACCTCTTATAATTTATTTGCATAATTCCTATAACTTTCTTCTTACAAAATCCCCAAACCCGAACACTGTCGCATATCAAGCTCCCGAGCCATTACTCAACTGCAGAGTCATCTTAATGTTCATGGCAGCCAACTCAGCAGCTAAATACCTGAAGACGTAAGGCATGGCAACTGTCTCCATCCCTTTGCTCGTCTTGCAGGCCACGCAAGTCACCTTCTTTGGGTTTCTGATTGGTGGCAGGCCTTGACCAATCATGTCGTGTACCACCTTTTTCTGCGACTGGACAATTGACGTGCTCAAAATGCTCCCACATAGTGAGCACACATCAGCAATGTGGTGGTCAGAGCTCATGTGAAGCCTGTCGTGCAATAGGTAAGCAGCCCCATGGGCTAAAAGGGAGTCTCTCTCCATCTCACCAAAGCGGACCCCACCACCGCGCTTTCTTCCCTTGATGGGTTGCCTTGTCACCTGATCGACTCTTCCTGTGGAACGGACCTGAAAATATATTTGACCCAATAAAAAAGGAAGTTAGAGCGTGTTTGTATATAAATATTTTCGCTCAAAATGAGTTTTTTTGGTTAACCGGAGTTAATTTCAAAATTTGGTATGATTAGTTGTTAGTGGGATTTTGATTTTATATTAAAATAATATTTAAAATAAAATAACTAAAGTCGTTTTCCTGTCGCTCCATCCATACGGGCTGTTGCCCTTCGAAATTTGATGTAAAAGTATGAGAGAGATGAGATGAAGTGATGCTGAATTAAAATTATGTGAGTGAATGAATAGTAGTAGATTAAAGTTGATGTGATGTGTAAGAATAATTGGTTTGTATTATTTGATTATAGCGGAGTTGAGTTAGATTTTGAATATTGTATTGAATATGGAGTATTTTGCAATATCGTGATGAAAAAAAAAATCTTCACGTTTTCTTTTTGCAATCTCTGAAAAGTGTTTACTTTTAGAAAATATAAACTCATATCTTAAGCAAAGAAACAGGAGTTTAGGATGCAATTGCTTTTTACACTTTCATTTCAGA